CCCTGGCCACGTTGTATCAAGCTCGGGGGGAGGCTTGATCCGATTGTAGAGGCAAAACCGCAAAAGCAGTTCCGGATTCCAAAGTGGGGGGGCTTCAAGAGAAATAGTTTCAGCTCCGGAATGCAAATCCTGTATAGCTTGCAGGTGCCATTGCTTGGAAGGCAACAGAATAGGCGGAAAGCACTCAGTGTTTATTTGCATATGAGGCTGACCCTCACCCGAGTCAAAGAAGACATCTTCATGAAGGGGTGCTTCGTAGCGGAGACTGTTAGCAGCGATTCCTGCCAGGTGATCAGCGACTTTGTTGCCGACGCGAGGGACGTATGACCAATGCACTGTAATGGGTGTGTGCGTTAACTTTTGCCACATGTTGTCCAGTTTTCGCACTAGGTCTTCCCTATGTAGTCTCAAGGCACCAGCAAAGTGCTTTACAATGTTGATGCAGTCGCCCTTAAGGATAACCTCCCTAATTTGATTGCTAGCAGCTAGAGATAATGCCTTGTCTAACGTTGCGTCAGCGGCGCATATTTCCGCAAACATAGAATCTGGACAAGGCTGGAGTGGGATGGCAATCGTTTCAAGAATTACCGGGACTGGTCCGGGCGACCATACGATACCACCCGCACCACCGATACCTTCTTGCACGTGGCAGCTGCCGTCAAATTGAGCAACAAGATGGGTATCTTTGACAGGTTTTAACTCAACAATAAGTGGAGTACCTGCAGGGATTGGCCTTAATGCCGTAACTTTAAGGTGCAGATTGCCGCAATGACACATTTTAGGCCATAGAGCAACATTAGGGACGCCAAGGGTCTGTTGATACATAGGTGCAAGCAAGTAATGCTGTGCATCTAATGTTGCTAAGACATCCCCTATATTGGCATTCCTGGGGGAGACGGTAACACCTTGGGCGCTTGCTTGACCTCAATATGGAGTCCTCCGTCGTTGCAACAGGGCTTGCAGCGTTCCGTGTCAACCCACCATGCCGGTAATGCTTTGGGAAGTAACATCCTCGGGATGGTATTCCAAAGACGTGACGCGAGCTTGGGTATGTTACTGATGTGTTTTGCCCGTTGCGGTGTCTCACACCTGGGGCAACTTTATACTTCGGATCAAGAAGGTTGACACCTGCAACGTCCCGTGCCAAGGCACGACTATGCCCCACCTGTGATGGCGGATTTGTGAACCTTCTCGTGAACGGCCTTGGCTGGTGCTGAATGTAGTCGCATCGGTGGCTGCATGATGGTGGTTTTGTGAATCTGGCAACGTCGCCTTTTGCGACGCACCTGCGCACTCGGTGCTACATGTGTGCTCCCGGCCTCTTCGACGATTTCGAGTACTGAGTGCACAGGGTGACCTAGCAGTTCGGCGCGCTGGCTGTGGACACTTCTACGTGGAGATTATGCACCTGCTGACTTGGCAGGGAGCCATTCCCCACTTGTAGAACAACCTGGCCCTCTTGAGACTCTAGAGGGTCACCCTCGTCTGGGCTCCCCGTCCGCGTGGATGTTACCTGAAGGCTCTGATTGGATCAAAGTAGTAATACCATGGAGATCCTTGCACTTCGGCACCAATGTGATGTGAGCCCTCCCATCTCCTTACCGACGTACCTCGCGGGTTTGGGTTTGGAGGGACCTGATGCGTGCCGACGCGCAGGCCAGCGCCAAGGTTGCGTGGCCTTGTGTGAGATGCCTGGACTGGGAGGTTCCTCGTTGTCATTATAAACCCTGTGGCGTTAAGGGTTTGGTAACTCGCTGTGGACTCTCCCCGTGGAATCGGTAGCTGCAGCTACTCTCGCCCCCCCTCTGGCCGTGCGCGGGCACCTCTCTGGGTGGGCACTTGTGCGCCAGGTTGACTGGAGAACCCTGTGCTCGGAGCTACTCCACTGGCTGACCACCATGGAGTGCCCTGGGCCGGTCCTGCTTTGATTGTTCTTGCTGTCAAGTCCCCACTGGCTGACCTCCATGGGGCATATGCCCCCTGTGCCGGGTGCGGACACCTCTCTGGGTGGGCACTTGTACGCCAATGTGAATGGAGCACCCAGAGCTCGGAGCTACTCCACTGGCTGACCACCATGGAGTGCCCTGGGCCGGTCTTGCCTTGATTGTTCTTGCTGTTAAGTCCCCACTGGCTGACCACCATGGGGCATATGCACATCTTTCATCCCCCCTAGGGAGTCTGACTTGCAACATCCTTTCGCCATTGAGTGTCGGTTGTCTGTCCTTGACAACGAGTACGTGATCCGAACCTCTTCTGATGACCTCGGTTTGAATAACCGCTGTCGCACCAGTGGCTCCATGATGGTGGTTTTGAGAATCTGGCAATGTCGCAATTTGCGATTCCCCCACAAGCTCTGTGCTTCCTTGTGAACCGGGACTTCATTGACGACTTCGAGTACTGAGTCCGTGGGGTATCTAGTAGTTCAGCGCGGTTGCTCGCTTTGTTTCTTTGGTGTTTGTTTGCTTGGTGGTTGCTTGGTGTGTCTGGCGGATTGTGTGCGCTGACTTTGTTTCACCCTTTACGTCGAGCCCAACAAGACCGGCCTACTGTGCTACTGATGTAGTAAAGAGGCGTCAGTCCAAAAAAAAAAAACACCAGGGACGCCGTAGAAGGGGTGGGAGTCCGTAGCTAAAGGTCTGGCTTTGCTTGGAACCCTACACGTAGGTAGCGGCCCCCTCTGGGACAGCCTGGAGGCGTAGGTGTGCTTGGTGCTGTGTTTGCTTTGTAGCTGGGGCTTCTTAGCATTGCGCAGTTCCTTGTGAGCGCCCGCTTGCAAGAAGAATCCAAAGCTTGGCTTTGGATTTCGCACTGTAAACACTTTGCAAGCTGCATTGGCTCTCCCTTGAGTCTTTGTGGGTTGAGCGCTCGAAAGTTGCGTCAACTGAGCCCTCAGTTGTCCTGCCACCTTTCTCTAACTAGTCGAGACTGAGAACGCCCGTTCTCTTTCTCTTTGTTTCTCTTTCTTGCTTTACTAGTGAGACTGAGAACGCCCGTTCTCTTTCTCTAACGCTTCTCTTTCTTGCAACTTGCTGAGATTGAGAACGCCCGTTCTCTTTCTCTTACTTTTTACGTTGTGTTCCCTTTCTTTATTAAAGTTGGGAACGCCCGTTTCCTTCCTTGTTAAGTTGCTGAGTGTGAACGCACGTTCTCTTTCTTGCAAACTTCTTAAGGGTGGGAGCTTCTTTACTTTATTTGCACCTTTTGGCAAATTTGTCTTGCGCATTGTGCAGTACGGATAGCTTCGGCGTAAGGTATCTGCACCATGTCGCAAGATCGAATCAGCAACATCGATGGAAGTGCATTTCAGTGTCTTGCCGACTTTATGTTGGGTCATCTCACTGAGTATGATGCTCTCTTTGCCAGAACACCATCAACACATTTGCTGGAGTATCTTAGAGATGGATGCATCGTGTCTACACAAACTATGCAAGAATTGCGCCAAGTGCAGGGCTCAGAGCTCCAATCTATCTTACTCGTCAACCCTAGTAAGAGTTTCCTTCACAATCTAAGGAAGGGTCTTACACAACAGACGAGTATAACGATCGTGAGTAATTTGCACAGCTCACTTTCCATATCAGACATCCCCTGTGTACTCTTCAGGAGTTATGATGAAGACTTCCTTCGTCAAATCCACAGCCTGACGGTTATTGGTGCCATTGAAGTGCAGGGCAAGCGGGAACTTGTATATTTGGTCACTTACATTCCCAGCAGCTACCCTGTCCATCACACTTGCTACTACATTGCCATAACGCCTTCCATGAAGCAAGAAGCCGGCAATACTGAAGTCATTATCGCTGGCACTGTTGGAATATTTGACGAGGAAGTTAAACACCTCAGTCGAGACTTTGGACTGGCTCACATTAGGAAGCCACAGCAGCCCATCGTTGCGTTAACTGATCAGGAGAATCGATGTGTTGTTTGCCTCAGAGCGCCTAAGATCAGCATAAGTCAACTTCAAGCTTTCATGCTGAAGGTTGAAGAGATGTATGATAAGGTGCTCAAACAAACTGAAGGCAAATCACAAATTGAGCTCCAGGTCTGGTATCGCTTTGCGCCTCTTGAAGGGATGCCGGGCAATAGTGTCAACTTCGTTGACCTCCCATATGCTATCAACTCTGCCCGAACTAAGGATGAAGCCTTTCAAGTGCATTGCATTCTCAATCAGCACAGGCTTATGAATGCGTTCCACACTGCTCCTGGGAAGTATCTGAGGATCTTTGCGGACCCCTATCAGCTGCAGAAGGCTATCTTGGGTCTTCGGCAAAAGCAGCTTACCATCCCTGACAGCCTCGCGTTGCATGCCGCAAGATTTCACATTTGCAATGTGAAGAACTCACAGGAAATCTTTGCTTGGAAGGTGACTCAACCTTTCAACTCTACAGAGGTTTCTCTGCAGATCACCTTTCACAATTGCACCGGAGACATGCAAGACATTATTCAGGATCTTGAGTACATCAAAATTCCGGTGCAATACAGAGGAATCGTACATGTATTAGCTGGCACTGATGTTGTCATACCTGCTGTCCATGTAACTGCTACTGTCGCCGCTGCCGATGCGCTCACTCAATGTCAATATTTCGACCTTCCTTGTGGAAGAACTGAAGTGCAATTGCTGCAAGAGGTTGTTGATGCCCCAAGATGGAGCAACAAGCCCATTAATCACATTTCCGAGAACCCTAGAGAACATTTTTTGAATTGCCACTCTGGGAGCGATAAGATTGGGCAAGGAAGATTGATCCATGTCAGAGCAAGGGATGAGTATCACCCCTTGTCCAAACAACGAATTGCTAGTACAATTTGGCACAAGGATGACCTTGAAACACATTTCCTGATCATTGACAGACAGGCGCCCTACGTTGTTATGACTGGTAAATGTGAGGATGTTCCCGAACTAGTGAAGCTGCAGAAAAGACCTCAAAAAGGCTTGAAGTGCGCATGTTTGTCCGCAGCCATTTTGCTTGTTTGCGTGTCTTGGTTTTCCCTGAGGGAAGGTACTGAGCATGTCGGAACCGCAAATGGAGGTGGAGCAAGATTCCCACAACTCTCCAGCGGAGAGTGCCGGGCAGGAGGTTGTGTTTTTGAATGCACCAGTAGAGCCTGCACCAGCAGAGGCAGCGCCAGCCGAGACTGCGGATGCAGAGGCTTCAGCTGCCCCCTTCAATGTTTTCTCGAGGCCTCCGAGTCAAGTTGCAGTACCTTCGCCTACGGTGGCTGCATCAGAGACAGGAGAGACAGAAGAGGAGGAAGCATGGGGAAAATGGAGGGCAAGCAAGGCCAAGCCTTCGCAGCCATCAGCCGAGCCGTCGCTGATAGTGAAGTGGAGAAGCATGCTGAGGGGACCGCGCTTCAGGTATTTTATGCAAGCGATACGACAACAGCGAGAAGATCTTATTGCATGTGGATACCCTGTGCCGGCAATTCCAGAGAACAACCTGGAACCTGCAGTTCCATTTATGTCTATCGGAGATGGGATCGTTTATCCTTCCCGCCAGGGGACCATCTTTGCGTCATTGACAGATGCTTTGATGACCGACGGCTACCTCCTCGAGGTTGGGCAGAAGCTCCTTGGGCGGATCCAACGTCCAGACCCAGATGTGGGGCCGTGCCTGGGAACGGGGTGGTCCAAGAGGCTTCGCGATCACGATCCCGATCCTCTGGATGGAACGCCCTACATCAGCGCGGAGGTTGCGTGGGCGCTGTGGCTGCCCGAGTTTCCGGAAGCCCCGGAGCAAGGAGGCATCCTTCCGGTGAAGAGAAAGAGGGATTTTTCCCAGCTCACCGACGAGTTGTTGGACGAGCATACGACAAGGTTCGAGCTCGCGGGTCAAGGCCGCACTCTTCACCAACGCGGCGTGCGTGCAAGGGACGCGCGTGCAGCTATCGAAGGGTATACTCCCGATCCAAGTCACCTACGCCACCAGAGTGGCGGGGACGTGGCTGCGCTGGGTTACATCAAGCGTATCCTCAAGGTCCTGACCGTTTACGAGGCCATGCCGGAGGCGGAACGCAACCTTTTGGCTGGAATGTATCCAGACGACGTCGAGCTCCAGCTCGAATGGGTGCCAGGTTCAGCCATCAGGCATGGGTGGCGTGCGTTAATGGGGGCAATGGATCAGCGCACCCGGCGCTATATCGAGTTCGAAGCAGAGGTCCGAAAATGGGAGGACTTGCAGTCCGCTCGACCCAAGGTCAAGGCCACAAGGACGGCTGCAGCTGCTTCCAAAGAGACTGCAGATACTGGAGGTGGAATTGGAGCGATGAACGAAGGCTCGGAGACTGGAGCGATGAACGAAGGCTCGGAGACAGAGTCTGCAGAGTCATCCTCGGCAAGTTCGTCGGACGAATCGATTCCAATGGGGGAATACATGATGCAGAGCCGGACCAGAGTTTTGGCGCTCATCGAAGCGGAGAAAGCCTTGAAGGATGTGGGCTCCTCTGCGCCGTCCCCACCGTCTCCTATCATTATGGAGCCATCGCCGGTCGCGACGGACACTGCGGGGACAAGTTCGATCCAGCAGCCCCCCTCAAGGGGACACTGCGGCTCCCTCAACACCGGTACCTCCTTCGCCTTCCGCAGTTTCATTGGCCCCTTTGGAGTCCTTCAAGTTCTTGGATGTTCCACCTGTTGCTCCTCCTGGTCCCTCGGACCACAGTGTGGAGCCGATGGTGGTGGAAAAGGAGCGGGCCCCAGAAACTCCACGACCCACGGCACCGGTTGGAGCTCCAAGTTCCACAACGGAGAGTGTGCCGGAGACCCCTCCTCCAGGGGAAATTCCAGGTCCCGGTTATGTCCCGAAGGCAGCTCCTGGGGAAATTCCAGGTGCTCTGTCGAAATCCAAGGCAGCACCAGCGGGGGCTACACCGAAGGCCTGGTCTGTGGTTCCAACTTCCTCGCCTTTGACAGTTCCAGAAGCGCCAGTGGCTGTAGAGTCTTTGCCTGCAGCTCCAGAGCCAGCAACCGTGATAGCGGAGGAAGGGCCTACATCCGAGGCCGCTACATCATCCGCAGCGGGTGCCCTTCCGCCTCCGGGCGGCTTGGGTCAAACAGCCGAAGAGAGGAAGTTTGTGCTTCCTTCCCCTTGCCAGAAGAAGTGAAGGCCTTAAAGGCTGTGCGGAATTCTTCCTTTTGTGGAATTGTTTCTGAACGCGCCGATCGCATGTCTTGCGCGTTGGAAAAACACAGTGTCTTTCAGGCTTGTTTGGACTTGGAAAGAAGCATGAGTGAAGCAGTTGAACAGACATGTTGCTGTGTGAGACTTGCTTGGTTAGGAGTGTGCGAGCTTGGAGGTCCCTTGAAGAGAAGCCCAAAAGAACTTCGATCTTCTCGGCAGTACCCTCAAAGATCCGAAATACCCTCAAGTCCGCGTTTAACTAGCCCGAAAGAACGTCGATCTTCTAAGCAGTACCCTCAAAGATCCGAAATACCCTCAAGTGTGAACCTCAGAAACGCCACGAACCCAAACCTCCTGAACATGAGTCATGACAGACCCCTGCCGGCCAGGAGTGCTTTGTTGTGCATGCCAGGAGAAGCATTGGATGTTTTCGCTTGCTTGGCGATCTATGTGATAGCAAGTCTCTTGGGGGGTTCGTTCTGGTTAGGGTTTCGATTCTTGAAGATGTGTTTGAAAAGTTTTCGAGGAGTTGGTGACTACCCTCAACTTGTATCCCGAAAGTACCGTTTACACCATCGTCGTAAAGGAGTCCGAGTGCGAATCAAGACTCGTTTCTGTTATGTTCGAGTTGATGTAGAACGTACTCTGGTCTTTAGCAGGCACGTTGTGAAACCAACTTGGAGCTCAGGTTTTAAAGCCTCTTTGAAGTTCGCATGTAAGGCCATGTGCTTGGGCCTTTGTCTCGACAGGAACTTGTGGAGCTTGTTGGTGTGCATGGCATGGTGTTGCGCTTGGAGTGTGTGTGGTTGTTGTTTGTTGAGAAGAAAGGGCGATGATGAAAAAGGGAGCAGATCCAATTCTGAGCACAGCCACCTGAGAGTTGTGCGTGGACTGCCCCTCCCCGGTAAGGGGACGCAAGCTGAGCCCTTAGAACTCGATAGTGACATGCCACGTTCTTCAGAGAGAGAAGAGGAGAAAAAGAGAGTCCGCTTCTGAAGCCTCAAGGTGCTGAACCACCTAAAACCCCGGAACCGTCTGGAGGTGCAGAAGTTTCAGATAGGATACCTCTGCGAAGTGTGGCTTTGCAAGTGCATAGATCCAGAGGTCATTTTCCTTATGATGTAAACTGTGAGGTCGAGTAAAGGGAAGGTTCCTGCGAGACGCTTGCGAAGGCGTTTGCAACGCGAGGACCAGACGATTGGAATGGATTTCTACTACTTCGGTCGTCTTCGTGTGCTGCTTCTTGCACATTGTTCTTCGAACTATACCACGGTCATCCCGGCCATGAATTTGGATGATCCAGATCTGTTTTACAACATTGGACGAGTGATTCGCGAAATGGGTCTTGTGAATAAAATGGTCACAGTGAGATGTGATCAGGAGTCGGCTTTGATGTCTTTAGCCGAAAAATTGACTACCCGTACAGGTGATGTAGCTGTTTCTGGCGTTATTGTGGACGTCGTGCCCGGGTATCGCCCTCAGTCAAAAGGCGCTATTGAAAGACAAGTAGAAACTATGAAGCAGGGGTTTTGGGCAGTGTGGTTAGACTTGGAGAGAGAAGTTGCGCGGAATTCCGCGCCGGAAGACTGGAACAAGAAGCTTCCGCTGGGAGGAATGCTCTGGCAAGCTTGTGTCCTTTACAGTGCCAGGTGCTACAACCTCTGGAGCTTTAGTCACCAGGACGTGACTACGCCCATTGACCGGCTGCACGAGGAGATTGTGCATCGTACGAGGACCCTGCCGTTTGGATGTCTTGTCTACGCTAAAGTAGGGGGCTCAAAAGCGCATCAACAGAAGTACAGGGGAAAGAAAACAGTGAAAGCTGTGTATCTAGGGCCTAAAGAGCCTAGAGGGGGCGGTGTCTTTGCTGCTCCAGTGGGTCAGACTGAGATCGATATCTTTCCTGTCTGTAGGGCCTTAGAAGGAGCGAAAGGTGAGCCTGTCTACGACGTAGGGGCCATACACGCTCTGTCTACTTCACAGCCTCTCGTTTTAGACCCAGCGGATCCTGAAAGGCCCATCATGTTTGAGCCACCACCTGATCCGGTGAAGTCAGAAGACCCTGACCCGGGGTTTGAAAACGAAGATGAAGAGATGGTACCAGATGATCCTGATCCTCTGAATGATATTCCGTCTTACGTGGAACCCACAGATGATGAGGGGGAAGGCGGACTTGGGTCACCGGAAATGCAGCCGGATGACCTAGAGGACATGGAAATTGACTGGCAAACTAACCATCTGTTAGAGTCTTTGTTCAAAGGACCGGACATTCTGGCCACGTCTAAAGAAGTAGCTGATTCGTTTACTCTCAAATTCGGAGGGAGTAAGATCAAGTGCCAAGTACCCCGAAACGCCGTTTCTGAGACCTCAGGTGAACAGTTAGACCCTGAACTTTTGTATGCTTCGATGAAGTTAGAGCTTGAGGAACTCGAGTCTTTTGGAGTAGGAAAAGTGATCTCTGAAGCTGAGGCCCGTAAGTCGGCGCGAGAGAGCGGTCGGAGGGTTCTCACGAGCAGGTGCGTTAACACGATCAAACGTAAAGGTCTTTACCGTTCCCGCCTCGTTGTTAGAGATTACGCTTCAATGGGAGGCACGACGCTTTCAGAAGGCATCTACAGCCCGACTACGAGTTTAGAGGGTTTAAGGCTTCTTTTGGCATTGCTTTGCAAGAAAGGCTCAGTGTTGAGCTGTGACGTGAGCGTGGCTTTCATGCACGCTGCAGTGTCAAGGCCAGAGTACGTAGAGCTCCCAAACAATGTGAGTATTGCGGACTCTTCTGTTCCCCAAAAGGCAGGAAACAAGAAGGTGTATCTTCGTCTTCACAAAGCGATGAACGGATTGAGATCGGCACCGCTTTCTTGGTATAAGGAACTGAGTTCGTACTTGGAGAAGAGCGGATTCAGTCCAAGCCTGGACCCTACGATATACCGAAGGAAGACGTCGAAGGGTCTGACGTTGGTACTGTTCTATGTAGACGATTTGCTGATCTACTCCGAGGACCCCTCGGAAGGTAAGAGAGTTTTCGAAGGACTGCAGAAACGCTACAAGCTGAAACTGACTGGAGAGCTTCCTGAGAATGGTGCGGGGGAAGTTTCCTTCTTGGGTAGGAGAATATTCCGACGTTCCGGAGACAAGCGCGTCTATTTCGGGCTAGATAGCAAGTACCTAGACGCGTGCTGCTCTGAGTACAATATAACCAAACCGAGCCCCAAACTCCCGTCGCTTGAAAAGCGATACTCTGACCTGGTTCGTAAAGGGCAAACTGAAAAGATCAGCCCAGCTGCGCACGAAAAGTATCGCAGAACCCTTGGTCGGCTTGCATGGGCAGCCCTCTCCCGACCGGACCTGCAATTCTGCTGCGGGTTTTTGGGCCGGCACCAGTCGGCGCCAGACGAGGCTGCTGAGACGTGCGTGAGAGACGTCCTTAAGTGGATAAAAGGGCTTCCGCACAGAGTACAGGTGTTTCCATCAACTCGGGAGATCCTGGAAGATGATGCGGATCCTCAGGCGGTTTCCTGTTTTACAGATGCCAGCTGGAGTTTGAATTCGGTTAGTGGTGGTGTGATTACTTGGGAAAACTGCTGTCTAAAGACTTTTAGCAGAAAACAATCAACCACAGCCCTGTCCAGCGCTGAGAGTGAGCTTGCGGCGCTCACGGAGATAGCCAGGGAAGGTCTCTACATTGCCCTCTTGACAGAGACCATCTTGGAAGGCATTCCGCAGTCTTGAAGGGTTACTCTGACTCTGAAAGCGCGGTTTGTATCTCAAAAATGGGAACATTGCTGAGGAAAGTTCGTCATATAGAGTTAAGAGCCGCATTTCTCCAGGAACTTGTGGATCGTGGAAGGTTCACAATTGAGCACATACCGGGGGCCGTCAACCCCGCAGATGCTCTAACGAAAAGTCCCACGAATGACAGTTTGGCAAGCTTGTGTGAGGCTTGTGGCTTGACCACCGAGCCGGTTGGCTGGGAAGAAAAAGGCAATCGTGCCCTGATGGTAACTAGGCCATCTCAATCTTGGACGAGATCTTGAAAAGACCTTGTGTGCTTGCGCTTGGGCCATACAAGCATCTACATCTCTGTCCTTACCAGCCAGTGGGAAGAGATTCTGCATAGGCCGTAGCTGTACAGTGCTGCGTAGTTGTAGCTAAGCCAAAGACCGTTGAGGCAGAGCTTAGAAGACGCCAACACTTTTGGAGTGCAATCCTGAACTAAGTATGTTGTTGTTTCCTGTGGGGCATCGGCAAATGTGAAGTAGACGAAGCAAGCATTCCGCCAGCTCAATGCAGCATCGAGGCGGGGTGTTGAACATTTTGCCGTATCGAAAGTCCCCATTTTATGATGTGATTTGGTTTGCAGTATTTCATGCACTCACATGTTTCACTTTGAGATTGAGTTGCATCTGAAGGCGTCTTTGAGAGTTCAAAACATTTTCACTAGTTAATAGCCCGTGCGCTCGCCCAAAAGGTTGAGAAGAGGCTTCGGGACATGTGGTTTTGTTTGCACATATTGCATGACTTTGACTTTAAGACAACTAAAAGTAATTCCAAGCAATTGTTTTCCAGTGAAACAGACAAAACTCATGGATTGCACCCTGCGCGAGGCTGCCATTTAGAGCAATTACATGTGTCAGAATGTTGTCAAGGCGACATGCATGCAGATGCGAACAACCACATTGTGTCAGAACTGTGACAGCAATCGATGAGCCTTGTTGCAGTGAAGTCCTTCGCAGCCGGTTAGCAATAGCATGTGCGCAATATGGCTATTGCTTGCTCGCGTTTCTGTATCTATAGGGAAAGATCGGTTTGCATGATGGCGGAAGTCCCAAAACGAGTGGCACCATTGGTGAAGTTCTTGCAGAAGGCCTATTGTCCTGAGTGTGGCAAGCACGTCAGTCATGGTGAAGTGGAGAAAATGCGGGACGCGTGCACACGAATGTGGCGAAAGTTCATGCAGCCGCTTAGCTCCGTTTCCGTTTAGCTCCGTTTCAAGCGTGGTTGCAACATGCAGCATATGGCCTCTGTCAAAATTGGGTGTGTTGCAAAGATGAATTATGCCCTACAGTAAAGTGTTCGAATGTGAGGTTGGACGATGCGCATTGCCCTCTCTTCCGTGTCTGCGACGTCACCTGGACCGGTGGGAAAGACTCCAAGGACTCCAAGGACTCCAAAGACTACCCTCCCGGGCTTTGGGAGCGGATGCCAAGGATCAAAGGCCGCTCCTAAGCACTTCAAAGGCGTAGAGCTGCTAGAGCTGCTAGAGCTGCTAGAGCTGCTAGAGCTGCTAGAGCTGCTCTTCGCGGTCCCCAGAAACTACGCCGCGTCTACGCCTTCGTGAGAGGCGCCTGTTACAAAACTGTCCTGTTGCTTAGCGTGAGTCGTGACAGTGATGTTCAGGGAGTGTCACGGGGTTGCTGAGAGCTGAGAAGGTGCTTCGCATTGTGCCCCCGATGTCGACACTTCGACTGGGTTATGCTTTGTTACGCTGGCCCCAGAAGAGCTTATTGCTTTGAAGCTTGCCGTGAGCATGCCGGTCGGGGTGTTGCGTGAGCACGCCCAGTGCAGCGCCATTGAAAAGCTCATCAAGTCTTCGGAAAGCTGGTTTGAGAGAATCGTTTTTACATTTCTGCGGTTCTTGGAGCTCTGCGCTTTGTCATGGCGTGTCCCTGGTGCCGCGCTTTGCCTGCTGTGTTTCGCATCTTGCAATTGAGAGCCATTTCAGGAGGTTGTAGGAGTAACACAGGAAAGCACAGGACCTGTGTAGGACCAGAGGGCGGTGCCCTGATGGCTGCCGGAGCCTAATGGCATAGTGCGGCATAGCACTAGCTCACTAGCATTGCACAAATCAGCGCAACTGAGAAAAATCGAGTGTGATGATCAAGGCCACAATGGCAAGCCTCGATGAGTTCGTTGAAAAGGGTCAGCTGGAGTGCCTCAACGAAGACAAGGCGCAACAGCTGCGCAAAATTGGAGCTCAATTGCAAGACGAGAGAGAGGGGGGATTGGAGAGAAGGATGTGTGAGATATCCACGTTAAAAATGAGAGGGGGGGGGGGGGGGATAGGGGATCGGACCGAAGAGGGTGTCGCATCAGCGCATGTTAACGAGTTCACAGTCTCACAGTCTCACAGTCTCACAGTTGGTTTTCTCGTTTTCTCGTTTTCTCACGAGGCCAACCCGGTTCTGAATGTCCTTGACCCGAGTCCGGACACGGCTCTCAGCTCGGACGAAAACGTGGACCACCAGCTGCTGCTCAAGGCCTCGAGTCGACGTGTACATGCAGTACAAGGGTCTACACAAAAAGGGCCACGAACCACAACATGCCCCAACTTTGTGTCTCTCTTTTCAAGCTGTACACGCTTCAGCGGAGAGAGGTGCAGTTCCGAGTGCCTGTCAAGCTCCAGAGCGTGCGCATCCTGGGCTCCTCTGAGGACATCTTTGAGTGTTTTGATCATTTTGATCTGAGTGTCCGGAGCGCTCAGCGCAAAGCACCCGGGGCCCATGTGTGGCAGGATGGCACCGCCCCGCAGGCTTGCACAGAAATGCATGGAAATGCACGGAAATGCAATCTACCAAAAAGCTCTCCTCGCTGTGCTCAGACAGTCAAGCTTTTCCTGGACAAGGCAGATGCGATTTTTTGCAGAATGTTGTAGACACGACGCCGCTCTGCTTGTAGCTGTCTTGTCCGATGTCCGTCAGAAGTCTCGGAAGTCTCGACTGCCAGTGTCAGCGCCTAGGTGAACATGGGTTTTGATGATGCCGACGAGGAGCCCGTGCAGGACAGGACAGTGAAGCCCATGCCGCTCTATGCTCTGCCTATGGTCTGCCTATGGTCTGCCTATGCTCTGCCTATGCTCTGCCTATGCTCTGCCTTGACTCAACACTTTTTGAGAGGAGCTCCAGCTCGGTCCCGAGAATGTCGACGGCGGTGAGGTGTGTCAGCTGCGTTTCGTCAAATTCCAAAATGCCGAAGCCCCGGAATACCTCGCACTTGGTGTGCGTCTTGGAGTGCGCCTTGGTGTGCCGCTCGTTGTGTGCAGTTGTCCCATTGGTTTCGCTGCAGGTGTCGAGCTTGCAGATTTTCTTTCAGGATACGAGGGGTGGGGGGATTGACGGCCGGATCGGGGGCCGGATCGGGGAGCAGGGAGACATGACGAGACATTCGTTGTTGCGCAGGAGAACTTCGGCGCCCCCGTGACGAGGATTTTTTGGGGGATGGGAGAAGATGAGAGACACAAAAGACTCCAGCAGAGCTTTGAGCAGAGCACATGCAGAAGGGGCATCTTGAGAGACTTGAACTTTTCAAAGAGACAAGTCTCAGCTCTAACTCATAACTCTCCTCTGCTCTCAGGGTGAGCCGCCTCGAGTTCCTGGGACAGCCTGCCTCCAGCATGGACATGAAGGAAGTCCAGTCCATTCCGTCAGAATCATGAAAACCCCACGTCTAAAAACACCAAGCTGCAGCACGTCCAGATACATATAAAAAAGATATTATATTCTGTATGCTTTATAAGCTTATGTTCGTTTTGTTCATGATGCATGAAGCAGCGGGAAGAGTGTAGGCAAACTCAAGGCGCCGTGCAGATCTGCGACTCTGCGTTTCCTCGAGAAAACGCAGATTCCCAGAGTTGGAATCAGCTTTTCCCCGAGAAAACGCAGATTCACAGATTTGAAATTTGCGTGTTCTCGAGAAAACGCAGATTCGCAGATTTGCCTCTCCGTGTCACAAAATCTGCTATTTATTGGGGCCTTCATGTTTAGAGTATTTAATTCGGGGAGGAGAAGTATACAATATATATATATATATATATATCTAAACATATATATATATATGTACATAAGTAAATATAGATATAAATATAGATACAAATATAATAAACAAATATAAACATAAATATACATATAAATACAAATATAAATATGAATATAAATATAAACGCAAATATAAATGTAAAAACAAATCAATACATAAATAAATCTATATATATATATATACATTCTATATATATGGAGGAGCCTTCTTATTTAAATAGGGCCTTCATATTTAAACCATTTACAGGGCTCACACGCAGTCTGTGCATCGAACGGGAGTGTTGGGAGCAGGTGATTGGAGGCTGTCGGTTTTGTGTGTGCCGCCCTCACACGCAGTGGTCGGCTTGTTTCAGAACTCGGAGGGGTTTCCTTCTTTACTTCTGTTCTTTTTTTTTAAGGGGGGGTAAACTATGAAGGAACCATTTACATATTTTAATGATATAATTCTCCCCGCCTGAACTAAACAATGTAAATAGGGCAGGTGAATTCAATGATTGTAAACGCTTGTGCGAGCCGCCTCGGCATCCGGGCCGGCCCACGGACAGGAAAGGAGGAAAGAGGGTTTCTGGGGAAGGCCTCAAAAAAAGTGGAGGGGGTCCCAGGAGGGGAGGGGTCCTCGGCAGGTTCCAGGGGGGTCCGGAAATTCGCAAAAAGGGTTCAGGGACACTTTGGGGGGAATTGGTGCATTTTGGAGCACCCCCTCGAAAGGAGGCTCGGGACCGCCCACGGCATCGGTTTAGATCCTCCAAGTGATTGGGGGGCCGGTCCCACAGGGCGGGAGGGGGGGGTGTGCGTCACAAAATTTTGGGTTAGGGGGAAGGAGACCGGTTGGGTTCCGTGTCGCTTCTCGGCAGCCTTCATATTTGATTCAGTAAGTCGGGGAGGGAATTAAATCACCTACATCGATTAAGTACAATCAATATTTTGTGTAATTTACATTACATTTTAAAAGGGGGGCTTAGCAGGGGAATCGAATAATTTAATCTCATGGGGCCTTCGTATTTAAATCATTTTGGCTTCTCTAATTCCCCCCAGAAGGCCCCTCCCCTTTCAGATTTAAATTAGGTATTTTCGTTAATATGTATTTGAATCCTAAAAGGGGGGGCTGACGAATTTAAATCTGAAGGGGCCTTCATATTGAAATAAGGGTCTTCAGATGCAATATGCAAGTTATTTCATTCCCTCCAGAAGGGGGGAGCTGCCCTCTCCTTTAGGACTTTACGATTTACATTATTTGGATCGTGTGGATTGGTTAGGTTATCTACTTCTCGCCCCTGAATTAAAGAGTGTAAATCGAATAAATATGGAGGGGCCTTCATATTCAAATGACTTAATCCGGAGAGGAGGAATAAACACTTTAGATATGGAGGGGCCTTCATATTCAATTAGAGGCCTTCATCTTCAAATTATCTAATTCGGGGAGCGGGTTGAAATCATTCAAGTAATTTACATATTTGGCATAATTCAAATAATTCAAATAATTTGAATAAACTGAATCCTGAAAGGCTGGAATTCATAAATTAAGTAAGTCAAATCTGAAGGGGCCTTCACATTTAAATAGAGGCCTTCATGTTTAATGAATTCCCAAAAAAACACATTAAACAAATCAGGTATTTAAAACGCACCATGATGCAGCCTGCCATAGGAAGCATCGATACTCGCTGATCTTTTTTCCTTAAGCGTGGGGTTTTGGAGGGGGGGGGTAGCATATCTATATATATATATATATATATATATAAATGAATACACGTTGCGGATACAATTGCTCAGGCAGGGGTGAGAGGGTTGTGCAGCAGGCTGCCCAAACAAAGACATTATAGATACCTTGTTTCGAGCTTCTTCGGAGGATTGGAAGCCGGTGAAGGGCTGACGCTAAGCAGAGCCCCTCAGCTGCAGCTTTTAGGCCTTTAGGCCTTTAGGCTTTGGGCCTTTAGGCCTTTAGAGGTCTTTACTTGAAGGGGAGGCTGTGCCCATCTATGCCCCATTCGGAGGCATCGCGAATATGAATCTTGGGATTCCTGGAGGTGCTGACCCTCGACAAGTGAAAAAAAGCCAACGGATGGAACAGCCTGCAGCCCAGGGGGGGGGCCCAGAGCTCTGCACAGCTCTGCACAGCTCTGCACAGCTCTGCACAGCTCTGCACAGCTCTGCACAGCTCTGCATTGCTCTCCACTCGCATATCTTCTGTTCAGGTCAATTGCAGCTGCAGCTTGCGTCGTTTTGCTTCGTTTTGCTGCAGGAGTTAACCGGCACGAATGACGCCGAGGGATCATCGCCGAAGCTTCTGCAGACTAGCGGTGGGTCTCTTGGCTGAGAGCTGCTGGTTTAATCTCTTTGAGGGCATTTCACCGCGACGTAACCATAACGTACAACAGTGGAATCAGCAGAACAACAACAGCAAAAAACTTGCGCAACAGCGTTGCAGCAAGCTCGAGATGGAAGTCTCATCAGAACCTGACCAGGACCCGACACGGGTGTTTCACCGGTGCAGTCCAGAAAATAACCATGCCCAGGCATAGCCAGCGTGTCATGATTGTCAAAGTGTGAGAATGACGCTGGCTTTTGCTCAGAAGCTGGTCACAAAAGAGATTTAGCAGTATCATGTTTTCGTTGCATGTTCTACTCTGCCTTTGCGACACAGTCCCTCTTCTCTTCTGACGGCCATGGGGCTGATGGAGCACCACTTGCAGGAGAGACCCACGGAGTCTGCGAACATGTTCCTTCTTCCTTCTCCCGTTCCTTCTCCCGTTCCTCTCCCTTCTTTTCCCCTTCCCTTGCTGCACTATTCCTTTCCTCCGTTTCCCTGCTTCCTGTCCGTCTGATGTTCTCAGCTCCTTCAGGACTATTCCTGGTGGAGAGCGACGAAGGCGCCCGCCATCGTCTGACTGTAAATTCCCTATAAGAGGCTTCGTTGTGACATGTTGTGATTCTGTGGTATTAATGTGTTCGTGGGTTTCAGATGGGCGTATGCAATCCGCATAGACAAGCTCAAAAGTACCGAATTCTCCGAGAAACGTACTATTTGCCTCGTGAAGATCATAGTGGTCGGAAATTCGCAAACCTAAAGAATCTCGAAACCTTGGGAATCTCTGCTGAAGTTTGGGCTTTTGGGTTTGCAGGTGTTTTGATACTGCAGTTTTGCTAAGCAATTCGTTCTTTTCAACAGAAATAGTGCTTTTACATGCAAAGTAAATACTAACTAAACACCGACTACATCTTGAAAGCCTACCAATGCAATTCATTGCATAGAAATTACATACTCAGTGCATACCGGGTTTTGTCGATAAAAATAATTTAGTTCATATCTTTAGCTTGCGTTGAGTGAGCAATTCATGAGGGACAGCTATTGAACCCCCCAAACAACACGAGGGTGTCAGGTGTCAACGGTAAACCTGCTATGCTTTCCAGGTTTGTTTAGTTTTCTTCGTCTATATATAGTTCATGTTTTGGTTTATCCGAAACTCAGTTTTTTCGGGCGTGTACGATGTGCACACAGGTACATGGAAGATCGCAGAATAATAGTGTAGACAAGGAGGGTGTAGATCTTGGGGAGCCTCTATCTATCTATCTAACTATCTGTTTATCTATATACATATGGTACCCCCCCCCCAGTTATCCACACCTTTTCTGCTTGTTTTGTGTTTTTCTTGTCCTGGCACTGCGTATTTCTTTTCGTTCGTAATTTGTTTTCTTTGCTCCAGCGTGTTGATTATATTTTCCTTCTTCCTTTATATATATATATATATATATATATATATCTGGTTGATTATCTGTATGTCTATATTACACCAGTAGAGACGTTTCTAGAGTGCATAGTGTACTGAAATTTCAAGGCCTCAATGGTCAAGCACGATGAGGGACAAGGAGTATTGAAGTTCAATGCTCCGGATTGAACTTCAATACTCCGGGATTCAAGATTCAAGATTCAAGGTTCCCGGGAAAAGTTTCCCCGGGATCTTGAATTCAGGGTCCCGAAGTATTGAAGTTCAATCCGGGGTATTGAACTTCAATACTCGGGACCCTGGATTCAAGATCCCGGGGAAACTTTTCCCTGGAACCTTGAATCTTGAATCTTGAATCCTGAGTATTGAACTTCAATCCGGAGCATTGAACTTCAATACTCCGGGATTCAAGATTCAAGATTCACGGTTCCAGGGAAAAGTTTCCCCGGGATCTTGAATCCAGGGTCCCGAGTTTTGAAGTTCAATCCAAATCCTTAGGGCTTTCCGGAGATTATCTCTAATACCCTGACGGGGTTAGCTCTATAGGGTTTAGCCCTATAGGGTCTAAGCTTGAAGCATTACCCGAAACCCTTGAGGGTCAGAACCCTAAAACCCTTGAGGGCTCTTCCTAGAGGTGCAACCATAATTAGAATATTTTAATGGGCCGGGCCGTTCCCATTTTTAAAAATTCAAAAAGGGCCGAGCATTTCCCAAAATAATATATTTTTCAAGATTTTACGGATTTTAAAGTATCTAAGTGGCCGTTTACATTCCTTAACATCCTTAAAATGTTGAAAGCCAGAGGCCTCACAATATTTTAAGGAGTTTACAGGGTTTTCAAGAATTGAAGGGTCTTTGTAAATTCTTTAAAATCCTTGAAGCTTTAACAGGGGAAACAGAACCATCAAATAGTACGTAAAGGTGAGTCGTACACAGGGTTATAAGGTTCTAATCCTATAGGCAATGCCTCAACCTTGAACCATAAACATGTGAACCCTCTAGGCCTTTCGGGTTTAAACCCTATCGGGCTAACCCCGTGAGGGCTTGCTACAACCTTTGAGGCTTTTAGAGCCCATAAGCTTTCAGGGTTCTGACCCAAAAGGGCTTGGGATTTAGATTCAAATGCCTAAGCCGTAAGCCCTTACGGTTTATCTCCATGGGCTTATAAACCTTTAAGACCCCTAAACTTTTGAACCCGATACATGGTGTGGGTACTTATTCTGCTTATTCTTTGCATTTCCACCAAGCCCTAAAAACAGAGGCATAACCATGTGGGATTTTAGGTTTAGGGAATTAAGCCTCAGGCCTGATAGGGTTTTTCAGGCTCTAATCCTATAGGCAATGCCTAAACCTAAAGCCCTAAACTGTTGAACCCTATAGGGCTATAGGGTTTAAACCCTATCGGGCTAACCCCGTGAGGGCTTTAGAGATACCTTGAAAAACCCTAAACCTTTAGACTTTATGGGATTTAAAGGTTTGAAAACCTAAGGTCTGGGCATGTATACCTTCAGCGCCTATGCGGTTAAAACTTTTCAGCCTTGTAGAGCCCTATTGGCTTTCAGGGTTCTGACCCCAAAAAGGTGCAGGTTTAGATGCCTAAACCGTAAACCCTTAAGGTTTAGACTCTATGGGCTTAGGTTTGAATACCTAGATCTTAAAATCTTCAAACCTGTTAACCGTATAGGATTAAAGGTTAAGGGTTTAGGTGTAATTGCTTAACCTTGAAGCCCTATGGATCTAAAGGTTCAGGTTCAGGTTTAACCCTAAACCCTATAGGGTTTCGGTGCCTCTCTTTTTATAAGACTTAAACCTGAACAGATAGGGGTTTAGAGATGTAGCCCTGAAAAAAGCCTTTGCAAAAACCAGGGAGCGCAGCGGAGCGGAAGGGAGGGGAGGGGAGAAGGTGCCCAGTGTTTGGACAGATGGAGAGGACTCGACATCTCAAGGATTGCATGCATTTACGTTATGTAGGGGATTGGGCTATTGGAGGAGGGGGGAGTTCAGGGGTCACCGCGGCCCGTGAACGATCTAATTGGCTCGCAACCACAAAAAGCGTGGATAACCACATAAAAGCGTGGATAACCCGGGGGGGGGGGGGGCGGGGGTAGCATACTGTGGATGTTCAGAATGTGAAGGTTTGGAAAGGATGTGCCGCCGCGATGTGTCTGGCTTAAGACGGCAAGGTGTGGAGCGCCGATGCCACAGGTTGGCCGTGAAGGCCCAAAACCACGAAGCAACGCAGTATCGTAGCATGTAAAGCCAAAAGTCCACGAAGCTGTCAAAGCACTGCTGTAAAGAAACCGTATACGTGCTTGTGTTGTTGGAAAAAGAATCGCACCCGTGCAGTTTGTAAGCCATGGAACAGCGCCCCAGACACACAGAATCCTCATCCCTGGGCTCCGATGCTCAACAGGTGATGAGCCCAAGCGCTCAAGCTGGGCAAGCCACTGGACCGCCCGCCGAGTTCCGGGAGACGAAGTTCCTTGCTGGAAGGAGAGGCGAGCGGCCCGTCGTATGGTGCAACCGAAGCTCCAGTGGAAGGTGGAGCTCTGCCAGTGGTTCAGTTGCCGCAGGCGATTGATGAAGGCCGTGAAGGCACGTCATCGTTGGTGGCTGGAATGGTGGAGCCTGCAGCTGGATCGGCGTTTTTGCTGAGTGATGATAGCATGGTTGCATCTGGTGGTTTGGAAGCTCCGCTACCAGTGTCTGTGGAAGAGCCGCTGTCGGTTCAGGATGCAGATGGTGGTTGGCGCCAAGGCCGGGAACAAGGTATGGTGGCCCAGGTCAGCGCTAGAGGTGGATCGCTAACTGTGGTTCGCTGGTTGACGCGTTTTACGGAAATGCTGAGGACCACGACGGACGCAGCAGGTGGGTTCCAAGGTAGGGTTTGGGGTGGTTTAGGGTTCACTCCAGCTCACCTTCAGCACCAGCAAGCACAGATGTCCCAACAACACTACGCAGCAGCCGGAGACAGAATGGTGCTCCACACATGCAGCCGGGAGGGTTTTCGCCTCCTGAAGAGCTGCAGATTCCGGACTCATGGAGGTTCTCACCGCCGCCAGTGCAAGAGATGGCGGACGTGGCACCTCAGTCGCCACTGTTTCGTCGGGGAGATCTTCAGAGGTTGAGGGAAAGCCAGAGGAGAGCACCCTTGATCTATGGCCTGATGAGAGGAGGTGGGAGTTCAATGAGCTCTACGGGGAGTTCGGAGATCCAGGCGGAGGTGCGTCGGCAAGTCCAAGACTTCATGGCGGGCCAAAGGGAAGAGTTGAGGAGTTTGCGGGAGCAATTGACACAGGTGACCCAGCAGCGGGATGAACTGAGGCGAAGCCAAGTGCAACCTGCCGGAGGCCTTCATGGGCACCTTCCAACTCCGCTACCCCAACCCCCAGGTGGCCCTCGAGAGCATGTTCAAGCAGTCCTACCTCAGCCCGCTGGAGGCGCTCATGGGCAAGTACAACCTCTGCTACATCAACTTCCTGGTGGTTCTCAGGGGCATGTTCGAGATGTCCTACCTCAATCCGCTGGAGATCCCCAAGACCATGTTCAAGCTGTCCTACCTCAATCCGCTGGAGGTTCCCATGGGCAAGTACGACCTCCGCTACCTCAACTTCCTGGTGGTTCTCGAGGCCAAGATCGTCAGCAGCTACCACAAGGCGACGGTGGTCCTCCTCGGCATGATCACAGGGATCCGACCATGCAAGGCCACAATCCGCGAAGTGCTGCTCAAGGAGGGAGAGAAGAGCAGCCCTATCCGGAGGGGGCGCCACGATCGTTTGGTCCGCAGATGATCGGAGTCGATGCTGGTGGTGGAGCTGCGAGGGCCTCAACGTCAACGGGTCCGAGACAGGGTGACATCTTGGGGGCCTTGGCAACTGGGATCAAGCAACTTCAGGATGTTCAGCTGAAGCAGATGGAAAAGAAGCCTGAGGGACCTGAAGTTGTGAAGCCAGGGACGACAACTTTGCCAAGTTTGCCACTGCCAGGAAAGGACACGAGCCCGATTGACATCCAGGACTGGTTGGAGGTGGTGGGCGCAGTGATGGGCGACCTCAGTGATTCGTCAGCAGAGTGGTGGATGCAAACCAAAAAGGCTGCCGAGGAGTACTACCAGAGGTGGGTGACGGCTTCGCCAATGGAAAAGCTGGCCCTCAAACCAACGAAGTCCGCGGTCCTGGAGGAGGGTCGCTACTCTCGAGTGAACGCAAGAGCGGCTAGCATGGTTTTGGCGGCGCTGGGCGAGGAAGTGAGAACGGAGATGGTTACAAGAAAGGCAACCTCCTCGACGATGTTGATGGTCTACCGCTTGCTCACCATGTATAGGCCTGGTGGTGAAGCGGAGAAAACCCTGTTGTTGAGACAACTCACTTCACCAAGTCCGGCAACGTCACCAACTGAAGCGGTGGAGGAGTTACGTCGTTGGGGGCGTTGGTTTAGCAGAGCCCGAGACATCGATGTTGCTACCCCTGACCCCGTTCTTTTGACGAAAGGCTTGGGAGTGATAGTTGATGGGCTACTTCAAAAGCATCCCCAAATCTCCTTCCGCACCTCACTGATGAGAAGTACTTTGCAGCTAGATGCAGGGCCCACTTTAGAAAAGACCCTCAGCTTCCATGAGCACTTGCAAGCCGAGATGGAAACATTGGCGACTTCATCGTCGAGTGGGTCTTCGGAAAAGAATCCAAAGGCGAGAAGCGTGGCTACAACTTCGGAGGCCGCCAGTCAGAACCCCAAGGGAGGATCCAAGGGAAAGCAGCCAACAGCGAAGGGGGCCTGCAAGTGGTTTGCGAAGAAGGACGAGGGGTGCATCAAAGGGGAGTCGTGCAAATGGGCCCACGAGTGGGGCGAAACGCAAAAGAAGGGTCGATGCCTGGTGTGTTCGGCAAAGGGTCACTTCGCCAAGGACTGCCCCACGAAGAGCGCGGAGGTGAAGTCGAATGAGCAGAAGGAGAGACCTGGGCCAAAGTCACCTTCGAAGGGGAAAGGAAAGGGGCGCACTGAGGAGCCGACCGCAAAGTCTATGAGTCCGGAGCCAGAGCCACAACCGACCTCACCGTCAACAAAAGGCGAGCCTCAGGAACAGGAACAGCAGGACTTGAAGGAGATGCTTGGGGAGGCCACGAAGGCGATCAAGACGTTAATGGCAGCAAAGACCTCCTTGTCGACTACCTCCTCGAATGGAACCTCTCAAGGCGCAGTGGAGTCCTTGCAACGCCAGCTAGATGAGTTGAGGCTGAAGGCGGTGAGGGTGTGTGCAGCAGAGCCTCTGACAAATGGAGCTGAAGAACAAGATGCACTTATAGATTCAGGGGCAACCAACATCCTCAGGCCACCGCGGGATGAGAAGGAGCGGCGAGATGCCGTTCCAGTTTCTGTGGTGTTGGCGGGGGACACAAAGAAGGAGCTCATGCAGAATGACGTGGGCACGATCATCGCCGGCAGCGACACCAGGACACAAACTATAATCCCCATGTGCGAGCTCGTGAACCATGGGTGGAAGGTGACATGGACAGGGAAGAAGCTGGCCATTAAGCGCCCGGAGTTTGGAAAAATGAGAACTACGCTGCGAGGGGGATGTCCTGAAGTCGCAAAGGAAGAAGCGAAAAGAATTATCAACCACATTGAGGAGAAGAAGCGTCGAGAGCTGTACGTGGAGGTGAAGGCCTTGAAGGCAAAGATCGATGCGGTGAACGACCGTGAAGCGGAGCCGTGGACTACATCTTTGAGGAGATTGGTGGAGGTAAAGGACTGGGCCGCGCTGGCAAAAGCTATCGAAACGGCGCCAATGTTCAAGGACCTCCCTGGCAAGGTCAAGGACAAGTTGTTCACGGTGCTGGAGTTCACCGACGAGGCCGGCTGGAACTACATGAAGAACCTCCCGTTGACGAGACGTGAAAGAAGGAAGATGCTCAAGTCAAAAAGGTGGGTCGTGAACTTGTTCTCCGGAAAGGGTTTCCAGGATGACCCGTTGGCAACGATTGGGGAAGGCGTGAACGACGAGCGTGTGCTCCTCAATGTCGACATCGAGAAGAGCAAGGCGTACGACGTGACCAAGGACGGCATCTACAAGGTCCTCATGTGGGCGGCAGCTACTGGAAGGTTGGAAGACCTTCTTGGAGGGCCACCGTGTCGAACGTTCTCTGTGATGAGGTGGAGGGAAGTTCCAGGTCGTGAAGGTCCTGTGCGTACGGGAGAAAGTCCTTACGGGATAGCGGAGCTCACTGAAACCCAAAGGGAACGTGTGGATGGAGACACGGAGTTGATTGCGAAGATGTTCTTGCTGTACATGGTGAGCAAGTTCGCGCGACCTGGAAAGGCCACCGGGGTTCTTAGTGGAGCATCCTAGAGACCCAAACACTCTGTGGAATGATGGAAGAGACTACGCCAGCTTGTGGAGGACACAGTTGTGGGTGGAGTTCATGAAGGCCACGGGTTTGGACGAGTACTCGTTCGATCAAGGCGCCTTGGAACATCCTGCGAGGAAGCCCACCACGATTGGTACGAACTACGCCTTGGAGCGCCTCAACGGTTTGGTCGACGTCAGGGTGAAGTCGGAGAACGCGATGAAGATGGACCCGGCGAAGTTGGCAACGTGGTCAAGGGGCCTGAGAAGGGAGATTGCGAAGGCAATAGATGATCGGGCAGTGGTGAGTCCAAGGATCAAGGCCATGACCGCCAAGCAGCGTCTGGAGTGGAGAAGGCACCTCCAGGCGGACCACGTGCCGTTCAGGCGCGACTGCAGTATCTGTACACAAAGTGCGGCAACTGGAAAGCCCCATAGGAGGACAGAGTATCCTCAGGCTTCGTTAGCTCTGGATATGGCTGGTCCTTTCAAGACGTTTGGGAGGGACCTGTACGAGAAGGATTACAAGTATCTTCTGGTGGGAGCGTTGAGGGTGCCAAAGGAGTTCTTGCCGAACCAGGACCAGAAGAAGAAGAAGGATGAGCCGCGTGAAGATTTGGATCCAGATGAAGCCCAAGGAGAAATGGAGATGGCAGAAGAGGAGGAGCTGGACTATGAGCCGACGGAGTCTGAAGGGGAAGGCAAGGGAGGAAAAAGTGGAGAATCGCCCTCGCAGTCCTCGAACCCGAAGGAGTCCATGCAGTCCTTAGAAGGTGCTTCGCCATCGCAGTCCTCGAACCCGAAGGAGTCCATGCAGTCCTTAGAAGGTGCTTCGTCATTGCAGTCTGTGGAGGAAAGGAAAGCAAGCCACTTGACGTCCTCGGAGGTGGAAACGCTCGAACATCCTGATCAAGATGCACAAAAAGGTGGTGCGTTAAAGGACATCGACGAGGTGGTGTTTCAAGGGGACAGTGGGGTTTGCAGCTCAAGGGAAAGCGGTGAGTCTTCCGGGAAAAAGGAGGTCCAGGAGGAAAAGAAGAAGTTTGATGAGCAGATTGAGAAGCTTCAGCAGCCCGTGGAGTACGAGACGCTGTACTTGGTTCGCCCGATGAGAGGACGAAGAGGTGCGGAAACGTTGCAGGCAATCCAAGAGATGAGGCTGACGATAATGAAGGAAGGGCTACCTCTACATCGGCTTCATTCGGACAGAGCAAGAGAGTTTGGAACAAGGGCGCTTCGGAAATGGAGTGCTGAGGTGGGGTTGATCCACACAAAGACATCAGGTTCCGAACCAGCAGGGAACGCCACCGCTGAAGCAGCAGTGAAATGGACGAAAAGAACGGTGAGAGCGTTGCTGACATCGTCAAGGGCGTCGCCGGGGGATTGGCCGCTGGCCGCGCAGCATGCTGCAGCAAAAAAGTGGGAAAGGCGCATGAGACCGAATGAGCCAGAGATCCCTGCATTTGGACAAGAGGTGTGGTACAAGACAAAATCGTACGCCGGCACTGGTGAAAAGAAGGCAGCGTCTGAGGGGGATATGCCTCCGAGGTGGAAGAGAGCATCGTGTCGAGGACCCTCAGGCGACGTCACTGATGGGCACATCATGGCACGAGATGATGGTGGTTTGGTGGTGGCAAAGGGCGTGCGCGTGAACCTCATTGATCCAACGGAACTGGAGCCGAGATTGCTTCCGGAGCTTCGCGGAAGTGAGGTGAAGTACAAACCTCCAACAAGGAGAGCGAAAGGGAAAACGCCAGGGGTGTTGGAGGAGGAATTGGAGCCTGAAGAGGGGCGAGAGAGGAACTTGTCCCCGCCTGAGCGATACGCAAAGGAGTGCTTGGAGAAAGAGAACATCACGCAGGAGACGCTGGAGATGCTGATGGCCCTTCTTCCGCACGACGAACTATCAAGAGATGCTTTTTCCCCTCCAGACCCTGAGATGTGGGCCCCGAAGCAGTGGGGAACAGGCGCCTATGTGCATGGAGGAGTCATGGGCTTGAAGAAAAACGTCAAGATGTTCAAGTACTCGACGAAGATGATGGCCCATTGGGTGAGGACCCGTCATCCGACTCACCAATTCACATCCTTGGTGTTGTTCAGGAACCTCAGGACGCAACCTCATAGAGATTCCCACAACGACTTGTCATCCGAAACGGTGGTCTTCCCAATATCCAAGTTCCAGAACGGAGAGGTGTGGGCGGAGGGAGAGCCAGAAAAATCGGATGAAGTCAGTTGCATGGAAAAGATTGGCGACAAGTTGGTCAAGGGCAAGCTTCTCCCAGTAGCAAATCGTCCTGTGACGTTCAACCCGAGGAGCTGGCATTCAACGCAGCCGTGGACTGGCGACAGGGTGGTGCTGTCGGCATACTCCATCAGGGGGTCGGATTGCCTTACATCAGAGGACAGTGATGCACTTCGTGAACTTGGTTTTGCCCTGCCGGGAGATGAGCTCAAGTACTTGTCCTCGTCGGAGTCCTCGAGGCCAAGTTCGGGAGCAGCCAATACTGTGAGCTCTTCTTCTTCAAAGTCACCTGAGGTAAGGGTGTCAGCCATCAGGGCCGTCCATACGTTTGAGGAGCAAGATCAAGAAGAAGTGAAGCAGAGGAGGAAGGATGCCAAAGTGGCAAAGGCCTCCATAGAGAACATCTACACGGACAACGTGGAGGAGTTGTTGGAGAAGCTGATGACGGACCTCCAGGTGGTGCACACTGTGAGACAAAGCGAAGCCATGAAGGTGTTGATGAAATGGAAGCCGTCGATGAAGAAGGAGATCGATGCGTTGGAAGGTAAGGGCGCCATCCTGAGAATCACAAAGGAGGAAGCAGATAGCCTCGAAGACGTGGAGTACGTGCACGGCAAGTGTGTGTGGACGGTGAAACCACCTGAGCACCCTGAAGAAGAGAAAGGAGACCCAGATCGTGCAAAGTACAAAAGAAAGGTGAGGATAGTGGCTTGCGGCAACCAGGTCGAAGATGACACGTTGTCTGTGCAGGACCTCTACAGCGCCGGGGCCACCGCCGATATCGTCCGAACAGTCATTGCAGAGGCTGGCTACAAGAGATGGGGCGCAGCGATTGATGATATCCGAGCTGCCTTTTTGACAGCACCTTTGCCAAAAGGGGCGAGACGCTACATTTTGAGGGTTCCGAAGGCGGTGATTGCAGCTGGTCTGGCCCAAGAAGGGGAATGCTGGTTGGTGCAAACAGCGTTGTACGGATTCAGACAAAGTCCAAAGTGGTGGACCACCTTCAGGAACACGCGGGCCGCGGAGGCGAAGTTCAGCGCAGAGTACAAAGGGGTGGAAGTGCAAGCACGCTGAAACCGTGCGTCACGGACCCGAACCTCTTCAAGATTGTGGCGGTGGTGCAAGAGAAGGAGGTCGTGATTGGTTACGTTGTGTTCTACGTGGACGATGTGCTGGCGGTTGGGGAGGATGAAACCATAAAGGGCTTCTTCAGTTGGCTACACAGCGAGTGGGAGACGAGCGGCATGCAGTGGGTGACGAAGGAAGGGCAAGTCAGATTCCTGGGAATGGAAATTCGAAGAACCGAGGAGGGGTACTCGTTGTCCCAGGAGGGGTACGCCGCGGAGATCGTGAGGGCCCACGCCGCTGAGAACGAGTACAGCGTCCTGCCAGCAACAAAGGAATGGCTAACGATGGAGCATGAGATGCCGGAGATCCCCACCGACGCTGAAGGAAAGGCCTTGTTCGATGCCAACGTGAAGGATGCGCAACAACGGTGTGGAGAACTACTCTGGTTATCGCAGAGAACGAGACCGGAGATAAGTTTTCCAGTGGCTATTGTTTCGTCGTGTACGACAAGGGATCCAGAAAGAGCGGTCAAGATTTCGAAGAAGCTGCTGGCCTACATCAACACGACAAGAAGCATGGGCCTGTTCACGGGAAAAAGTGTGCAAGATGATCCCCGGGATCTGTACGCGTTTACGGATGCATCGTTTGCCCCGGAAGGCCGGCGAAGTCATGGAGGGGCGATGGTGGTGTGGAGGAATACTGTGCTGTGCTGGAAGTCATGGAGGCATAGCACAATAACGTTGAGCAGCGCGGAGGCTGAAGTGATCTCGGTGACGGAAGGGGCGCAGATGATGGAGGCAGTGAGGGCAACGTTGAGGGATATGCAAATATTCCCGCACCGGTGCGTGTTGATGATCGACAGCACAGCGGCGCTTGCGATCTTGGGTGGCGAGAACAATTCATGGAGAACGAGGCATTTGAAGTTGAAATGCGAATGGCTGCGGCAGAAGGTGAAGGACGAGGCTATTACGTTATTCATTGTCCGGGTCACGAAACAAGTCCCGGGCCAGAGGCTGAAGGACATTGGAGAAAAGTGGGGGCTGAGATGTAGATCGGGACCGAGGGTGAAAGCTATGAGGGTGCCTCCTACAAGTTCGCCTCATACAAGTTCGCCTGGAACGTCGCCTCGTACAAGTTCGCCTGGAACGTCGCCTCCAACAAGCTCAAATCATACAAGTTCGCCTCCTACAAGTTCGCCTGGAACGTCAACTCATACAAGTTCGCCTGGAACGTCGCCTCCTACAAGTTCGCCTGGAACGTCGCCCTTGACATGTTCGCCGTCGCCTTCGTCAGGATCACCTGGGACGCCTCCATTGAGTCCGCCATCGTTTGTGTCAGAGTCGCCCCCAACATGTTCGCCTCATACAAGTTCGCCTGGAACGTCAACTCCTACAAGTTCGCCTGGAACGTCAACTCATACAAGTTCGCCTGGAACGTCAACTCCTACAAGTTCGCCTCCTACAAGTTCGCCTGCAACGTCGCCTCCTACAAGTTTGCCTGGAACGTCGCCGACTACGAGTTCACCGTCGTCTTCTACAAGAGTTCGAAAGATGGTGGTGGAGCATGCCGTGTTCTACGTGGACGACGTTGTGGTGGCATTGAGGCCAATGCGGTGGGCGGAAAAGGAGCACGTCTCGACAGCAGCAACAGCAGCGAAGCCGCAGCCACAAGCTACAACAAGGTGGGTTGGAGTGTTTAGGATAGTGGTTTTAGTGGTGGTTATGGTTAAGTGCTGCGCTGGACGAGAGGAGCAGGGCCGAGAGGAGGAGGACTGGCAAAATCCGATGAGAGTGGAATGGGAGCTGTATTTCCTGGGATTGGTTACGCTGATCGCAGTGTTGGCCGTTTGGGAGTGTTTTCGTGAATGTTTGAGGAGGGGAGCAAGAAAGCTTCCAAAACTTCGCGACCTCGCCCGACGACAACAAGACGGACCTTTGAGCAAAAAGGAGTGCAAAGAGCTATCGGAGTTGGTGAACCGCGGAAGCTGGCTGGGAGAGAAGGACCACGAGAAGTTGACCGAGCTGGTGGCGCGGTTTACAAGACACGATCAAGGAGCAAGTTGTGCTTCAAGGGGGCCGAATCGTGCAGCAGGCCAGGCAAGGGAACAAAAGAGAGGAGAAGATGGGGCAGCAGGGGCGAGATCTCTGCGTGAGGCGGCTGCATCGTCGTGGGAGCAGTCAATGGGCGTGCGACAAGAGAGAGCGGCGGAGTCTTCGCTGGGAAATGAGACCGCAAGGTCAGTGGCCCGTATGGAGGTTGGGGTTCAAGCTGACTTGGCGATGGTGAGATTGGTGCAAACAGGAGAGCCAATCATTCGCGTGCGAGAAGTATGTCCACCAGCCTTCTTCCTATGTGATGGTGGCCGGACAGTCCACACCGACAAGCAGTGTTGGGGGTTGAGGAATATCCCTCAGCATGAGCGAAGGGAAAGGGAGCTCTGCCAAGTGTGTGCTCGAGATCAAGGAGTTCCAACGCAGTTCTGAGAGGTGGACCGATCCTCTCGGAAGGACCAAGGAGGGGTGTGGATGTTCAGAATGTGAAGGTTTGGAAAGGATGTGCCGCCGCGATGTGTCTGGCTTAAGACGGCAAGGTGTGGAGCACCGATGCCACAGGTTGGCCGTGAAGGCCCAAAACCACGAAGCAACGCAGTATCGTAGCATGTAAAGCCAAAAGTCTACGAAGCTGTCAAAAGCACTGCTGTAAAGAAACCGTATACGTGCTTGTGTTGTTGGAAAAAGAATCGCGCCCGTGCAGTTTGTAAGCCATGGAACAGCGCCCCAGACACACAGAATCCTCATCCCTGGGCTCCGATGCTCAACACATACATATGTATATATGTTGAACACCATGTGGTACACTTCTTGCGCTGGGTGCTGTGTCATTTTGCGAAGGGAGACCATGCTGTTCTTCTCTAAACCCTGAACACAACACCACAGAGTCAACCTTCTCAACCTTCGAAGGGCACTTCCCACAACAGGCTCAACTCAAAACCAAGCTCCTGGTACACTTCTCGATGTGTGCACCTCGTCGCTTGAGCCATGTTTGGCCGCAGTTCTGCAATTCACAACGATCGCATTTTGGCCTAGGCTTAGCCGTTCACGCGGAGCTGCTTCTCCACCTCAGCACTCCTCCTCAACTTTGACGTTTAGTTCTACAGTGTCACGCACCAGCAGCTCCCATCTAATGTGCTTAGCACTGTCAAAGGAGTTAGCTGGCTCTTCTTCACACACAAACGGGGGATGCTCAAAAGAACTTCGCCAAACTGCAAAGTGTGGCCGCCTTGGCTAGAAAGTATTGGTTTGTTGCTTTGCCCGAGGGTTCTGCTTGTTGTCGCGGCATTCACCATTTTCGCGGCGCCGCATCGGCGCAGGCTTCTTTTGTGTTGTGACCCTCGAAAAAGTTCGCAGTCCCCAGCAGTCTGCCGAGCAGTCTGCCGAGCAGTCTGCCGAGCAGTCTGCCGAGCAGTCTGCCGAGCAGTCTGCCGAGCAGTCTGCCGAGCAGTGTGGGCCGCGTCTCCATGGTCTGCCAGAAAGTGCGGGCCATCGCAGAAAGCCTGTTTGCATCTCGATTACGAAGCTTGCTCTGGTGCAGGACCCTCCACCGTGACTCCTCTCCTCAGTCTCATCCGCGAAGTCCACAGCCCTAGGCTCCGACAAAGCCGAGACGTCATTGCCAACCACGCTTGCACGGAATGCCGCCAACGCACAACCACTTTATGACTTTATGGCTGTACCATCTGCGCAACCCAACACTGTTGGACAAGTCACGGGTGCGAGGGGACGAGCAGGGCTTCCCAGAGCTCGCTTCGAAGCTGTGTGGTGTGGGGTGTGGGGTGTGGGGTTTGGAGTGCGGGATAGGCGGTGTTTGGTGGCGGCGGTGGGGGTGGTGGTGGGTAGCGGATCTGATGGTGGGGGTGTGCAATGTGTGGCAGTGTTTGATGGCGGTGTCAGGCGGTGTGTGGGTGTGTGATGGAGTGTGGTCTGTGGTGCTGTTGTATGATGCTGGTGGTGATGGTGATGGTGGTGGTCTCTGCTGCTGGTGGTGTGTGGCGTGTGTGTGGGGGTGTGAGCTGTATTGCGTGAAGGACAGAGGAGAGAAATCGGTGGAGAAAGGTGCTTTACGCATCGAGACGGGGGCTCCAGCCACACCCTGTAAAGCACGGACTGTAGGCGGTTTGTTCGATGTACTTCAAGGTGTAGTTTCAACATTTGGCCCCCGCCCCCCCCCCCCCCCCCCCCCAAAAAATTGGTGCAAACCTTATCTCAGAAATCTTTTTTGAGGCATCCTAAGCGGCATCCTAAGCGGCATCCTAAGCCCTAAGCGGCATTTTGCTGAGAGGAGAAGAGGAGCCCACGGTGCCTCACGGAAGGCGAAGACAGCAGCGCCTGGCTTGAAAGCTTGTTCAGAACTAGTCTGAAGGGTACTCCTTGTTCTCTCTATAAGTCTCTAAATCTCTTCTCTCAAAAGGTTTCGAAGTTTTGAACTCTTTCTCTGTCTCTCTATAAGTCTCTAAATCTCTTCTCTCAAAAGGTTTCGAAGTTTTGAACTCTTTCTCTGAGTTTTGGGGGGAGAGGATGCTTGGGCTTCGATCTCGCGGACATCCTGGAGCAGGCGCGGAGACTCTTTTGTCAAGTCGCGCTTGTGCCTCTTTTCTGTCTTTGTATTTCTTTGTCCACACTGAAAAGTGCGCCTTTTGCTCAAAAGAGAGATTGCTGCGCGAGGGCCGCGGCCCTGGCCTGGCCTCCAACTTCGTTGAGGCCCCGCGACGCGAGGCGGGGCAAAAGGAGCAGAAGAAAGAGTTTTTGAGTAAGAGCTTTCAGAGCAAAGAAAGAGAGCAAAGAGCAAAGAACGAGAGAAGGTTCGCGAAACCAAGAATTCCACGGGACGAATGGGCAGGTTCACCTTGTAGACATCTGCGGCGAGATTTTGCGAATCTCGCGAATAGCTTCCCCTATGCAAGGGGTGTCGAGCAGATCGGCCATTCCATACCTACAAGATGTTGGGGGATGTGCGAAATGTTGCCGAAATGTTGGGCAGGCCAAGCTTCCTTCTTTCTTCGCTTCGATTCGCTTCAAACTGGCTTCAAGAGTTTTGACGTTCGAAAAATTTAGAGGCTGTGTTTGGCCAAGGGGTAATCTCGTGTTCGGCGAGAGAAAAGAGCAAAAGAGCTCTTTCGGTCAAGAGAGCGCATGAGCAAACCATGTAGAGCCACCATGCACTTTGCGCAGTTTTCGCCTTCAGGAGAAGGATCAGCGACTTAGTGTCCTTTGTCAAGAGAGGCTGCCATTACGGATCATGTGTGCGGTCACCAGCTTCGCAAATTTTGTGCCAGCCGCAGCAAGCCGCAGCAAGCCGCAGGCAATTCAGCTTGGTGAAGGATGGCAAGACTCTGCTCGTGGCCCTGCCGGTTGAAGGCGAGGCCTCCGACTCTCCCACTCCTCGAAAAGCATAGGTCTGACAGTTCTAGGTCGTTTAATGTCATCTTTCCCAACGCCCGTTTTCTTCAATCTCATGATGTCCGGCCTTTTTTGTTGACCTTCCGCCTGCGAGCCTGAGCCTCCCGGTGATTCGGAAGAACACCTCAAGACCACCCACAGAGCACTTTAACAAACTGCTTATTTTAACGCTACGCGACCCGCCTCGGCCTGGCCCAATGCACCGATGTTGGGGGCGGGAAGTTCAGGGGGCGGGGGGGAAGGAGGCGGCTTTGAAAGGAAACATCTGCGGCATGCCGAGAGTGTCGGCCTGCTCCGGATGATTTGCTACGAAAAGGTCGGCAAACCCTTTAAGGCACAGCGTTGCCGTGTAGAACCCCTTTTAGCCTCGTTTTGTAGGTTCCAGGGCTGCGCAAAGTAGGGGTCGTGCCCACGGCTCGTATTGCAGCCAGTGTAGTCGAGCATGTGCCCGCCCCCTGCAGCCGTCATTGGGGCAAAAACCTGACCTTGCTGCACGCTGAGGCAGACAGGGTAGTTAGGTTGTTGAGTGTCGCCCTTGTGCCAGTTCGGATAGCGTTGCGCCATTCGCGCGAGCCACGAAGGTGCCTCGGACCTTCCGCGGCGTTTTTTCTCCCGAGTTCCCTCCCCGCTTACGCGCCGATCCTCCCTCAGGTTCATCCCAGCATGATGCCAGGCTTTCGCAGCAAGCAAGTGCTCCTGTCGCTTCGTTCAATGGAAGCGACCAGCAGACGCCAGATTGCCGTGTTGCAGAGGTTGGGGCATGTTAGGCATGTTCCTCTTGGCCTGCTGGGCAGCTGCCGGGCTGGCGCTGCTGCACCTCGTGTGGCATCGTGGTGTCAGAAGGGGGCTGTTGGGGGCTGTATCACCCCCCAGTCCGCGTCTTGGCGGCCGCAGCTAACCAGCATTGCCGTGGGCTGGTCAATCAACCAGCAAAAGCCGACAGCAATGGAGCTGTGAGCGGTTATCACGTAGATTGTTTGCACTTCTTTTTTCATGGTTCAAGAAAAGTGGTCGGCAGTCGCTTGCATACGTCGATGTCGGCCATATGTTCCACGTATTGAAAGCGTGATCTGTGCAACTTGATACAGCTGTATGGTCACGGTCTCTGCCAAGCTTGGGCCCTTGCTCGCCATTGCTCGGGCTCGCTTCTTTGTTAGGCCTTGGCTTCGACATTTTCATCCCCAAAGAAGAAGAGGCGCACGCAGCAACAGAGATCTGCCTGTCGACCAGACATGTCGGTCCAAAATGTGCGGGGAAAACGTCCAACACAGATCTTTTGCTTTTTTGGGTAAATTGCATGTCCTGTTGCTCAGTTACTCTCTTTTTGTCTCAGGGCAAGGCGGCTGTGGGCGCCGTGTCTGGCGCGGCCTTCCTGCTGCGCTGCAGTCCCAAGTGCCGGTCCCAAATTGCGGTAGTAGTGTTGTTGATGTTGTTGCGGCCGCGAGGGTATTTGCAGATTCAAGGGTAGGAGTGTGTTCTCTCCTTTTGCGATTCAGCCCTTGAGGCTGGACTCCTGGCTGCTCACCAGTACCAGGAGGGGAAAGTTAAGGAGAACACCTGGAGAACTCGTAGAACTCGCAGATTTTCCCGCGGTGCTTTTGTGCTCAGCACGCGAGGTGCGAGCAATGTGAAGCCAGAGGCGAGCGGAGAGGGGTCGAGACAAGGGCCGAGACAAAGGAAAGCACAAGTGCAGGTTTCAACTTGAGCTTTACATAACTTGCAGAACTTACATGACTCACTGACTCACATTACTTGCAGAACCTACATGTTTGTTTCGGAGTGCCAGGTGCTCGCCAGTGTGGCACGCGTGAACTTTGCCGCATGCGGGGCTCCTGATGCACTGGCAGATGCCGCGCTCAGATCCAGAATTCTCAAAGCCTTAAACGAGCCTCCCTACTCGCACAAGCCGCACAAGACAAGACATCCCAGTCTCACAACAACATACCACTTGTCTCCATGGCTGCACCAGGCTCTCCCGTTTCATATTAAGGGGCCAGTACGAAAATTGTCATATTAAGGGGCCAGTACGAAAATTGTCAACATGAAGGCCCCATTTATAAGTGAATAGTTCTGTTTACGTTATCTTCTTGTTGACTTCGTATTCACCGCCCTCCCAGCACTTCTATTGGTCTTTTGCGCTCTATCGTTTTATCTCTCGGGCGGGTACAGTATGAGTGCGTCAAAAAGATATGAACGGTAAACTCATTCACATCGCACCACTCACTGCGTCCGCATGAAATCAAAGAATGAACGCCGGAATGAATAAAATGTGTGAAAAGAAAGTGAATACAGTTTCCTGTTTTTCTCCTTACCAAAAAGTATTCGCATTGCTGCCTTAATATCCTCAGGACGCAGAAGAATTAGTATCAATATATGCGGGGGCCTTGCAATAATTATACCTAATAATGGCCCCCATCATAGTAATCGATTATACTTATAATGTGGGGGTTCTCTGCGCTCGCGCAATATGAAATGAGAGAAGGGAGAGCGCAAAGAGAACCCCAATTACACAGTAAATTAAAACGGCCTTACTATTTTGTGTCCTGTTGGCGCCCTAATTTACTATATTTTGTAAGGGCGCATAATTCGTTCATGTATTCACTAATTTCACGCGCTTTGCTCATGTATTCACTTCGTTTGTAAATGAGTTCATTGCATTCTCTACGTAACAATAGTAATATCGGGGCAAAAGATAACAGAAAGAGCCCCGTATATCATACATAAAAGGGCCCTTTCATGCTGTGTTAACAGCCCCTCAACAAACGTTATATTATGATGGGGCGTTTACCTACAGCATTAAAAGGGGGAAAAGTAAATGTGCACATTAGATATACGAAAAGGCGCGCTATTCATTGCCCTGTTAGCACATGTAATAAAGTAATAAGGCGTGTAGTGCGTTCGCTCAGTTAATTCGCTTACTTGTTTACTTCTTCCTTTCTCCCTTTCTCCCTCTCTCTCTCCCATCCGTCTCTTGCTTATCCCTGCCCTACTGAGTACCTTCTCAGGTCACACTACACCGAGCGCGTTGGGGAAGGGAATGCCTTCTGTGCGCCCCGTGTATTGGGACATGCGAGGTAGTGGGGTAGCGACGAGAGGGCTCTTTAGCTGCCTTCTGCCTTTGACTCGAAAGTGCTCAAAGTGCTCAAAGTGCTCAAGGCATGGATGTCGAGCTTCCCGAGCTCACAGAGGAGGGCTCATGGCGGCGTTCGTGGCGGCTCTTGCGCTCGAGATGTGTTGTTGTTTGTCTTTTGTTGCAAACGTGTGTGTGTGTGTGTGTGTGTGTGTGTTGGGGAGAGAGGACGGCCGCAGCTCGGTGGTTTGCTCCGTGTGCAGCGGGCCAGAGGTTGGCGGCTGCGTGCTTTCCACCCGGAGGCCGCGCTGGAACCCCAGGCGCCATGCGGAGCCATGCGGGGCCATGCGGGGCCGGAGGCAATGTACATCGGGGGTAGGACTGCTTGATACACAGTGCGGGCACGAGCGTGCGAGCGCGCAGGGAGATGAGAGCACCATAACTGCCCGGAGCTGCTCAATGAAACATTGACGTTCTTTTGGTGGTAGTGTTGTCGGCTGAAGTCAAAATCTTGTTGATGTTGTGTTCAAGGCGGGTGAAGGATGTTTCTTCATGAAGTGTGCGAACAAAATACACACAAGATATACATTCGTGCAACACGCGTGCGTTTAGCACAGGGAGGAGATGCACAGGGAGGCTCCGGAGACAAAGGAGAGCAACTCATGGGCATATCATATGATGCTGAAGGTGCTCTGAAGGATGATAAGCGTGCGGAAGTTGCGTGCAGCTCTGCCTCAGCAGCACTGGCAGGCGTGCGACGCCAAGCTTTTCTTAGGTTTCGCCTTTTGCGCCGCCGCCGCTCAGAAGTGTGAAGTTTCAATATTCACTGCAAGAAAAAGCGTTCTGCAATTAAGGTTCGGTCAAGAGGGCTGATTTTCAGCTCGTGGGTGCAGACAGACTTCAGACTTTGGATTGATATCAATGATGTAACTTCAAAAAAATTGGCAGCAGCCTTTGAAACCTGTGCAAGCTGCCTGCCGAGAACGCAGGGCAATGTCAGAATAACTTTTGTTATCTTTTGCTTTGATTTGTTTTCTTGTCATCAGCAAGTCTTTGCGCCTGAATGCTTCAGACGTGTAGCAACCTGCAGCGTCAGAACACAATTTTACGGTGTGGTGAAGGCTTGTGGCAGCCAACGGCAGCCAACCGCGAAAGTCAGCTGCCAAGAAGACCTGCCAGGCTCCTAAATTGCAGCTCCGCTTCTATATAGAAAAGTGAAACTGAAATTACGAAAAGGGCTGCATGGCCTCAATTCCTGATGCCAGCTGCAAAGTCCTTAATTTCAGCTCTTTCTTCTATTTATGAAACACAAACGGAGCGAAATTAAGGAATCACCACTTGGCCAGCTGAAATTAAGGAAGCCAAATTCCTTCATTTCAGTTCCTTTTTTAAACAAAAACATGGAGCTGAAATTGAGGACTTTGCATCTGGCATCAGGAATCGTGGCCATGCAGCACAGTTCTTAATTTCAGCTTCACTCTTTTTGAAAAAAGCGGAACTGAAATTTGGCATGCCGGGAAAAACCCAAAGTCTTTTCCTCAAAATGCGGCATGTCGACGTTTTGTGGCGCACCGCGTTTCGGCCCAACATCATAGAACTCATGGATTTTGGAGATTTTTTGTGACTGCCAAATGCCTTAATTTCAGTTCCCTTTCATGAAGAAAAGAAACTGAAACTAGGAACTGGGTTGCATGGCCACGACCTTAATTTCAGCCCAACCTTTTTGTAAAAGAAGGAACTGAAGTTAAGGAATTTGGCTTCCTGGAACTGGGTTGCATGGCCACAAGTCCTGATGCCAGCTGCAAAGTCCTTAATTTCAGCTCTACTTTTTTTGTAAGGAACGGAGCTGAAATTAAGGAATCACCACTTGGCCCATGGAAATTCGGAGGCTGCTGTCTCGGCGAAGGGTGGAAAGCTGGGCAGTTTCTCAAGAAAGGTTGAGGACCTGCTGCAGTGCAGGAGCAACAACCTCCGAACAAACAAACCAGATGGATGATGGAAGGGGAACAGCCGATCTTGCAGCTTATTTTCCTTGGTGTCGTTAAGCCCCAACATTCCCCATGACCTCAGGATCATGTCGTCATGCTTTTTGTAAGAGCGCTTATCGTTTTGTGTTGGGTTTACATTGTTGCTTCAACGCATTTCTACAGACGCTGGTGTCATTGTTTTCTGGCATAGTCTCCCAAAGTAGATCCTTAATTTCAGGTACGTTTTCTCATGTGCCGTAACTTCGGTGTGGGGGGTCCGAGGGGGGTCCGGAAGTTCCCAGGGAGGGTCCCAGAAATGCCAGAAAGTCCCACAGGGCAGGGGGGGGTCCGTCACAAAATCTGGCATGGGGGGAAGGGTTGGTTTAGGGTGAAAGATACCGGATCCCGTGTTCCAAACACTTCTCGGCAGGAAGCCAAGGCGAATACTCAGAAGTAGGAGCTGGCCATCATGTGAGTTTGTAGGCAGAGATTATATATGCCTGCGGCCTGCGTCAGAGGCGTTTCCCCCGATAGCGTCTGCAAGCCAAGAAGCCTGAGTTACAACCTTGCATCTCTTTGTCTTCGGATCTGTTTTACACTTCACATCCACACCATCCAAATGATTTTTGCCAATGTGCCATCTTTTCTTCTCTTAAGCTCAGAGGTTTAAGTGTGAGAGTGAGAGAGAGAGAGAGAGAGGGAGAGGAGCTCTCTCGCCTCAGCAGGGGCCCTTAACCTTCGAACGTGCGTTGTTTCGTTGTTAGGAGCTACTTCTCGTTTTTGTTTGAGTCTCTTCGATGTTTTTTTTTGAGTCTCACCGGGGTCAGATTGAGAGGGGTGTATGTTTATTATGCTTTCTCACGGTGTTTTCGTTGTATTCTCTTCCGGGATGAGTGGGGAAATGCCCCCGCAGTGCTGAAAGGGGGCTCTCATAGTTCTTGAACATGCAAGGAAAGGGGTTTCTAAGTGCAACGTTCCTGGACTTCTCACCAAGACAAATGGGAGACGAAAGTTCCAGAGGCGTCGAAGAATCTCTGAGAGCTTTCGAGCAGGTTGAGCAGGTTGCGTGCCTTGATGCAACCAATATGCAACCTGTGAAAAGGAGAAGCGCTCGCACTCGGCGAAGTGGGAGCCTAGGTCAGACAAGCTCAAACAAAACCGTGTAGCGACCAGGGACTGCAGATTTGAGTTTTGACAGTTTTGATGTGTGTCTAAACGAAGGGACCCGGGCCTGTGACCAGGAATCCTTTAGAACGCTCTACAAGGGCCAAGATTGCACGCGAGTGCTTTGAAACCCTAAAAGGGTCGATGCCGGCCCGTTTTTTGGGCCAGACCTCTTCGGGACAAGAATGGCCTCTGACCCGAACTGAGGAATCTGCCCAGGAATCTGTTTGCCTCTTCAGGACACCAGGGGGCGGACGTTTGGTGAGACATCCAAAACCCTTTAACGTAAGCACAAACCTTGGTCTCTACATAAATTCAGTCCGCCCTTTTCAGGCCTCCAGACCCTCGCAAGCCCTGGTGCCCATAAGTCTGCGGTTTGCAAGTTTTGGGGCCCACTAATCCGTGTTTCCCCCTTGGCTGTTCATACCACGAACCCAGAACGGTTAGAAGTACAATTTTGTAGCAAACGCTTGCTTGGGCCTCGGCCGCCGGCCCAACGCGTTGGCACACCGCGCGGCCCACAGGCGGTTCGGGGGGTCCCACATGGGGGGGCGAAGCAGACCAGATTGTGGGTATGAGCGGCAGAGTACTGGCGTACTGGCTAGGCAGAAAACACTAACGCTGGACTTCCACGGCCGCTGCAGCCTGGCCTCTGCGAAAAACTTCCAGCTTGAGGCAGAGTTGGAGTGCCTTGAGCTTGTGGGGGAAAGAGCGGATTCCCGTGCACAGGCTGAAGGTGATGCGGGAAGAGTCGTGCTATTGTTCGGCAAGGCCTCTGTTTCCACTTGAGCTGAGCGTTTTTGATGTCGCTCTCACACAGGTGGAAAAGGACCGCTTCGTTTTAGACTATGGCCACCCATTGGGCACCGTCCAGGTGGGAAGAAGTCATATGGATTGCTCTCTCACTCGGGGGATTCAAAGTCGCACTAAAACGGCTAAAACCAAGAAGCAAAAAAGAGCAGTACACGAAAGACAATTGCAGGACTTTTGGGAGAACTGGGACACCGGAACCCAAAACAACAGCTCCAAAAAAAGGGCAGATAAGGTGCAGAAGAAGACGCATTTTTTCGGGACTCTGCGGAAGCTATGGTATGAAGCTCGCATTTGTTTCGTATTGGCCCTTTCGATTGCTTTGTTTTTTTTGTTGTGTGTTTTTGAGGTTGTTCTCTCTCTGGTCTCGTGTTTTGCTTTCGGTAGCCCAGTTCTCAAGAGCTTTTCAACATTTGCCCGAAGGCTAGTAGTGGTTTCCGAAGAGGGTTCCAGAGGGGGAGTTTCTACTTGGAGTTTCCACTTGGCATAACGCGTTTGTCGCGCAACTTTTGCATGACCGACAAAGCGAAAGAGCGAGAAAGCGCGTCCCCCGCCCCCCCCCCCCCCCCCCCCCCAGAAGTCTTCGAGAAAGCGCGCGGGTGGTCAGCGAATCGAGCTGCGGTTGTGCACGGACTTTAGCGGGGAAATGTTTTCAGAGAGGAGTTTTCTGGGGCACAGTTAACCGTGGTCATTTTTTGCTTCGAAAGTGCAGACACACGAGGATGAGGCCTCAGATAGCTCCTCGTGTCGCAGCAACGCTCGTTTCGTTTTTTCATGGCTCAAGAGTGCAGACCGTCACGAGCATGAGGCCTGTGGCCTGTGGGTGGCGCCATCCGACTGTCGTCACTTTCAGCTTAACCTGTTCATGGCTCCTCTACAAAGTGTTCCTGATTTCACCTGATTTCAGGTTTTGCTTGTCGGGCCTGCAAAGTGTTCCTAATCCCGTGTGATTTATAGCTACAACGTGTTCACGATTCCGGGTTTTGCTTGTCGGGAGGTGCCGGTTTTTCTTGATTCCAGGTTTTGCGTATCGGGGCCGAGTGTGAACACGTACAAAGTGTTCCTGATTCCAGGGTTTTGCCGATTGCATTGTGCTCGCAAACTTGGTTGTGAAACTGTCAAGCAGCCAGTCCGCCAATCAGCCGATCAGCTGCCTGATTTGGCGTCTGGCCAGTTGGGCCAGTTGAAGGGAAAGGAAGGTGCCCCGCAAGCAAAGAAGGACGATAGTGCAGAGGTGATTCCGGTCCAGTACCGCTATCGGCATGCAAATTTGTCAAAAGCGCAGAAGTGACACTTGGATTCCAGGCGGTCGCCGATCAGCCGATCAGCCGATCAGCCGATCAGCTGATTGGCTGATCGGTTGATTGGCTGATCGGCTGATTGGCTGCGGCAACACCGACGAGACCGGAGAATAGCTGAAGAATAGCTGAATAGGTTCCTTGTTTTCTTGATTCCAAGTTGGAGAATACCTACAAAGTGTTCCTGATTCCAGGTTTGCTTATGGGGCGGTGAATGGTGAACACGTACAAGGTGTTCCTGATTCCGCGTGGTGACTAGCTACAACGTGCTTGTTGGCTGCGTGGTAAATGCCTACAAAGTGTGCTGAAAAAAGACAGAGAGATGACGGAGAGACGACGTGGAGGTAGGGAGAGAGAGAGAGAGAGAGAAAGCGAGCGAGAGCGAGAGAGAGAGAGAGAGATGAAAGAGAGATGAAAGAGAGATGAACGAGAGATGAAAGAGAGATGAAATAGAGATGAGAGAGATGACAGATGAGATGAGTGATGAGATGACAGAGAGAGAGAGAGAGAGAGAGAGAGAGAGGAAGAGAGAGAGAAAGAGAGAGAGCGAAAGACAGAAACAAAGATAGAAAGTGAGGAAGGAAGAAAGAAACAAGGAGCAACTGTGCTCTTTGTGGACCCCAAACCCAAAGCAGGCCCAGACAAAGTTCGGCATCACTCCCTCTCTCACTCTCTGAGAGAGAGAAAGAGAGAAAGAGAGAATGAGAGAAAGAGAGAAAGAGAGAAAGAGAAAAAAAGAGAAAAAAGAGAAAAAAAGAGAAAAAGAGAGAGAAGGAGAGAAGGAGAGAAGGAGAGAGGAAGAGAGGAAGAGAGAGGAAGAGAGAGAAAGAGAGAGAAAGAAAGAGAAAGAGAGAGAAAGAGAGAGAAAGAGAGAGAAAGAGAGAGAAAGAGATAGAAAGAGAGAGAAAGAGAGAGAGAAAGAGAGAAGGAGAGAAGGAGAGGAAGAGAGGAACAGAAAGAGGGAGAGAAAGAGCGAGAAAGAGAGCGACAGACTGAGAGAGAGAGAGAGAGAGTGATAGAGAGAAAGAGAGGAGAGAAACAGAGAGAGAGAGAGAGAGTGTGATCTCTCTCTCTCTCTCTCTCTTTCTCCTTGATCCCTCAGAACGCGGCAGCTGACTTCCGCTTGGTTTTCTTTCGCATTGAATCGCCATGAATTATGTTAGCATCACTGCGCACTTTTCTATTACTTTTCTATTTATGCAGATGTTCGAAGGTTCCTTGGAAGCTGGACTTTCGAGAAACTCTCCGCGACGGGTTCTTTAGAGTTCCCCAGGAACGGTCTTGGAAATATTTTCGTGAGGCAAAGTAAAAAGGGCCACTTATTGAATTGTTGATACTCGCAACAAACTTCGGTACCACCCTGACCCATTTTTGTCCGTCTGCAGCAGCTGAGAACAGTACGGTAAGGGCCTCCGCTGGGTGAGAATCGTTTTTATCTTCTTCCTTCAGTGGAAAAAATCTGCAACGATGCCTGATGCCCGATGATACTTGATGCGTGATTCGTGCTGCCAGCTGTGTTTTTCGTCGCCAACGGTCTGGGCGTTCACCCCCAACTGAGGACTAAAACGTTGCTTTGTTGGCACAATATTGAAAGAAAACAGCCCAAAGCATGCGCAGATTCTTCCCTAGTCTCTGCTATCTGTTTTTCGCTTCTGAAAGGCCTTTGCAGCAGCGCTGTCGGCGTCTCACTGGAAGTGACTAGGGCAGTGACTGGGGCAGTGACTTGGGCAGTGACTGTGACTGGGGCCATTTCGCCAAGATTTTCTTTCTGCGGCGCTCCGTACGAGTCCCCGCAGAGAGAAAGAATTTCGTAGGGGGCCCCCGCTGTAGGGGCCCCGTAGGGATTCGTAGGGATCCGTAGGGGGCAAAGGGTTCGGCAGCTGTTGGCGCTGCATCGCTTGCCATTTGCGCCATTGGCCAAAAGTTTTGAGAGAAAAGGAGATCTCGGAGGGAGGCGCGTGAAAGGGACAAGAGACGTGGAAAAGAGACAGAGGTGGACAAAAAAAGAGGGAAAGAGAAAAAGGACTCTCCCCCCGCAATCTCTCTGTCGCTGTGCACATCCTCGGGAATGCAGCGCAGCGAAAGGGTCCTGTGCTAAGCACAGGACATAACACCACAACGAGGGCTGTTTGAGGAAGGAGTAGAACGCCTGTCGCTGTCACGTTCCAAGGAGACCGGTTTCAAAAGAGAGATCAGTGAGAGAGCAAATGAGCAAATGAGCAAATTGCAAGACAAGTTGCGACGGCGTGAGAGCGGTCTCCCGGCTTTTGTAAGAGCGACGGCGTCCTCAAAGGGCTCTCTCCCCAAAGGGGGGAGAGTCTGCTCGATTTGAGGAAAGAATCAAAGCTTTTCTCTTCAAGACACTTCTGCAGCTCGCTCACGCGCTCAGCTCGCTGAGTGGCTCAGCTCCTGGCTCACGGAACCTCCAAAAGTGAGGCGGCCGAGGCCTCTTCGCTGTGCGCGCACCTTTTTCGAGGAGAATCCTTCTCTGTGATCAAAAAGAGGCTAAGGTGGTCTCAAGGTGCTCGCATGCCCTCTTACGTGTGTGCTCTCTCTTTTTATGCAATCTGTGCCTCTGTGCAGTCTGTCTGGGATCCGAAGGGGTTTCGGGGCCTTATGCGCGGATGTTGAGGTTCGAGAAGAAAGGGCTGCGGCGGTGGCCCCGCCTGTGTCACTAGGGTCACTAGGGTCACTAGGGCCTAGCCGCCTGCCGGGGCAGCCTCGGTAGCCTCTGGAATCGGGCAGCCATGCCAGCTGCATTGGACCAGACGCTTGATGAGATGATCGAGACCACGTGGGACAGCAAGGGAAACACAGGAAAGGGAAAGTTGGGGAAGGGCAAGGGCAAGGAAAAAGGCGAGAATGGCTATGGTGGCTATGGTGGCTATGGTGGCTATGGTGGCTATGGTGGCTATGGTGGCTACGGCTACGACGGCTACGGCCATGGCTACGGCGGCGGTGGCTACGGTGGCTACAACAACTTCCACTTCAAGGGTAAGGGAAAGGCCAAGGCCCGCTCGACGACCTCGACTACCTCGGGCACCTCAGGGAAGTTGGACATGAGCCTGGAGGAGCTCCTGGACGACACAGAAGGCAAAAGCAAAGGCAAGGGCAAAGAGGGCAAAGAGGGCAAAGAGGGCAAAGAGGGCAAAGAGGGCAAAGGCTCCTATTCTTGGGACTGGGACTCGAACGCAAGCTCCGGATCTTGGGGTAAGAGCTACGGCAAGAGCTGGGGGAAGTGGAGACCAAAGGGGGACTCCTTCGACTTCAATGGTGACAAGGGCAAGAGTTGGGGCAAAGGCAAGGAGGGCAAGGAGGGCAGGGAGGGCAGGGAGGGCAGAGATGGAAGTTCGGGCTCGCCATCGGGCTCGCCGTACTGGATGGAGCATGATGACTGGCGCGGTGAGCCAGAGGAGGAGGGCAAAGGAAGCAAAGGTGGCAAAGGCGACACCGCTTTCACATACGGTACATACGATTACGGAACCAGGTACGAAGCGAAGGGATGGGGCAAAGGGAAGGGTGATAGCCAGGGCGTTTGGGCACGAAGCCTCCGTGACACTCGCGATGCTCGTGAAGAACGAGGTGGCCATGGCGGCCATGGCGGCTATGGCTACTCAGGTACCAGCAGCTACGCCGGCTACGCCGGCTACGCCGGCTACGCGGTGGGCCGGCCGGGGATGTGGAGCCGCGTGGATGCTGAGGAGCGGCGCTTCGAGGAGCGAATGCCTCGTTTGGAGAGCCGATTGGATGGTCCGAGGAGAGACGGCCGAGAGGGTGCCTCTCGCCGAAACGAGGCCCGTGAGCGCGTGGAGCGCGCGGAGCGCGCGGACCGCGTGGAGCGTGTGGAGCGTGTGGAGGAGGCCCCTCCGCGCAAGCGAGGAAGGCCGGAAGAGGACACGGCGCCCCGCACCCGCGCGCGGACAGCTCAAGCGGCTCCCAAGAGGATTAAGGTCACCAACATTCCCAAGGAACTCAAAGCAGCCGATGTCAGGGAAGCCTTTGAAGCAGAGACAGGAAAGATTACACTTTGCGAGCTGTCCAGAGGAACGTGCCGCATCACATTTGCGAGAGCAAAGGATGCCCAGCAGGCCGTGGAAACATTTGACCGTGGCGAGCTCAACGGCAAAGTGATTTCGGTCATGTTGGAGGACTGAGTTCAGCAGAGCTCAGGCATTTTGAGAGTCAATGATCTAGCGGATCTAGCGGATCTAGCGAGGCTTTCACCACTCCAGCAGTGGTCGCACGACCGCATGCTGCAGGAAGTGAGCACAAGCGCAACCCGCCGTGCCTCTCGTCACTCGCCTCCCGTGACAAGTTAGGCAGTTTCTCATCTTCGCTCGCGCAATTTGGTGTAATACAAGAGTGTTTGCGAATTTCCTACATCGTGTCATCGTGTCTGCATTCCAAATATGCGAGTGGAAGGCTTCGGACCCATTGAGGTTCTCATATCGCAGTTTCGTCTTGTCACGGCTTTCCGACCCTGTCCAGTATGGAGTGAAGCAGGACGTAAATTGAGCTGTGACGCGGCTTATAAAACTTTTTTGGAGAGCCTGCAACACTGCGCCCTTGCCTTTGTCGTTGATCTTGGGGCCATGTGGGCCTTCTTTGCCGCTTGCCTTGCTGCACCCGTGATGGGGGTCAATTTTGGTCCTGCGGCTTCAGCGAGCCCTGTCTGTTCACGTCAACGAGATGGAGGGACAGGCAAGGTTGGGACAGTAGGGTGGCAGTTTCATGCAATTTCAGGTTGGAATCGGTTGGTTGGGCCGGGTTGGCCGAGGGCCGGGTTGGGGGTGGGCAACATTGGATAAGATTGGGCAACGACTTCAATCAGATCCCTGAAAGAAGTTCAGCGCGAAAGTGTGCAGGTGCCGGTGAAGCCTCGAGGAAAAGGTTGGGTTGGCGCCTCAGATCTCTGCCACGCATGGCCACGCAGTGCCAGTTTCCGGGCTGCTCCGACACCGGTCAAAGTGGAGCCCGACAGAGCCCCAATGCTTCTTGTGCAAAGCGCATCCTCACAAAACACGCCTAGCAAAACCCAACTAAGAGAAGCATGCTCCAGCTTGCTGAACTGCTCCACTCTGGTGCGCCGCAACACACTGCTCTGGCATCATGTGTCCTTGTTAGCTGCTTGGAACCTTTGGAGAAGCTCTGGTCAAGTTGACAGGACGTTGAAAGAATGAGTCGAATCTACGTGCGGCTCTCTGGCCTGGGCTCAGGTGTGCCCGATTTTCTTTCTGGCCGTCCTCGCGGGAGTGGCGACGTACAGGTGAGGGTCACATGTGAGCAACAAGCTTCTCTAGTAGTCGTCGTCGTCGTAGCAGTAGTAGCAGTAGCAGTAGTAGTAGTGGTAGTAGTAGTAGTAGTAGTAGTAGTAGTAGTAGTAGTAGTAGTAGTAGTAGTAGTAGTAGTAGTAGTAGTAGTAGTAGTAGTAGTAGTAGTAGTAGTAGTAGTAGTAGTAGTAGTAGTAGTAGTAGTAGTAGTAGTAGTAGTAGTAGTAGTAGTAGTAGTAGTAGTAGTAGTAGTAGTAGTAGTAGTAGTAGTAGTAGTAGTAGTAGTAGTAGTAGTAGTAGTAGTAGTAGTAGTAGTAGTAGTAGTAGGGGGGGTGGGGGGGGGGGGGGGGGGGGGGGGTGGATTACGTTCTGTGCGTGCGAACACCCACAAGAGCAGCGGGAAGGTGCCAAAATCTAACGGAGAGCAGTGCCAGCCCAAGTGCAAGCCTCATACTCCAGCACCCTTCAACCCCAAAGCCTGAACTACAAGCACTCATCCTTCACCAGAATTAGCAACGCAGAGTAGGAATATCACCAATTGACGACAGGCTTGAACCTCATAAGTCTTTTTAACTTACATCCTAAACCCCAAAACCACCAAAGTAACAATCAAAAGTAGGTAGTATTCATAACATTTCCCTAACATAATATGTGCCTCGAAAAAGGACAGGCAAATCTCATAGAAAATGCACCAACATCACAGAAAGCACATATCTGAGACCTGAAATCATAAAAGCAAGTTTCGCCCACCACCACGATGGACTTTCTTACCCCGTATAGCAAAATAAAATCCCAAGAGATACTGAATAAGGACATAATAACTTCACGCCCGGTGAAGACCAAAGACATCCTTCGATGTCGGCTCTTCCTATCCTTGAGACACTGTGAGGGTTTCGGGTTTAGCTTGTCAGGGTTTTCGGTTTAGGCGTTCAGGGTTGTGTTCTTTAGTCCTTTCGGTCGCAGTGCCAGCTCACACGCTTGGAAAGCAAGCCCAAAAGTTCCGTGTCTTATGAGAGAACAAGCAAGAAACGAAGTCCTCACTCAACAAGGCCAAAAAACAACACATGCGAAACGCGCCAAACACTGGTGTTTTCGTCTTTTCTGAGCTTCCACCCGAGAACAGTGCTACAATAAAATGCGCATTTTCAAGGCCCGGACACACTGTACATACCCATATTTTCCTCTTGCGCGTAAACTAGTTGCAAGTAGTTTCCGGAGATGTTTACACATGCAGTAGTAGTAGTAGTAGTAGTAGTAGTAGTAGTAGTAGTAGTAGTAGTAGTAGTAGTAGTAGTAGTAGTAGTAGTAGTAGTAGTAGTAGTAGTAGTAGTAGTAGGAGCAGCAGCAGCAGTAGTAGCAGCAGCAGCAGTAGAATAGTAGTAGTAGTAGTAGTAGTAGTAGTAGTAGTAGTAGTAGTAGTAGTAGTAGTAGTAGTAGTAGTAGTAGTAGTAGTAGTAGTAGTAGTAGTCGTAGTAGTAGTAGCAGCAGTAGCTGTAAAGGCAGCTTTCTTTTTGTTTTTACGTCTGCGAAAGGACGCCGGGGGCCCTGGTGGCAAATGCCTTGGCCTTCGTGTCGCCCACGGTCAGGCGCTAAGACTATCAAGAAGAGACAAGTGCAGAAAGTTGCCTTCGTTTTCGGTTTTAAGCTTAGACTTCTGCATGAACAGGTGATGCAATGAAAAGGCCGTTTGTTGAGACCAACACCGGGGCAACAGGTCGTGCCGAGGTCTGATGGTAGGCCGTTTGCCAAACTGGATCAAAGTGGATCTTCCGTAGGGCACGTGTTCTTTGTTGTTGTTTTTTGTCCTTGTCTTTGTCTTTGTCTTTGTCTTTGTCTTTGTCTTTGTCTTGTCTTTGTCTCTGCCTTTGCCTTTGCCTCTGCCTTTGCCTTTGCCTTTGTCTTTGTCTTTGTCCCTTGTCTTTGTCCCTTGTCCTTTTCTTTGTCTTTGTCTTTGCCTTTGTCTTTGTCTTTGTCTTTGTCTTTGTCTTTGTCTTTGTCTTTGTCTTTGTCTTTGTCTTTGTCTTTGTCTTTGTCTTGTCTTTGTCTCTGCCTTTGCCTTTGCCTCTGCCTTTGCCTTTGCCTTTGTCTTTGTCTTTGTCCCTTGTCTTTGTCCCTTGTCCTTTTCTTTGTCTTTGTCTTTGCCTTTGTCTTTGTCTTTGTCTTTGTCTTTGTCTTTGTCTTTGTCTTTGTCTTTGTCTTTGTCTTTGTCTTTGTCTTTGTCTTGTCTTTGTCTCTGCCTTTGCCTTTGCCTCTGCCTTTGCCTTTGCCTTTGTCTTTGTCTTTGTCCCTTGTCTTTGTCTTTGTCTTTGTCTTTGTCTTCGTCTTCGTCTTCGTCTTCGTCTTTGTCTTCGTCGTCGTCGTCGTCGTCGTCGTCGTCGTCGTTGCAGCTGCTTTTTGTTGTAAGGCGGTGTGGAAGGCGCCGCGGCAGCCGCTAGTTTCGCGGCATGCCGACCCGAACCAGCATCTTGGCGGACTGTCTTGGCATCCATAGATATGGATATATTGCACAAGAAGATATATACATATGAGTATGTTCATATATATACATATATGTAAGAGGAACCTTTATGTACTATTAGGCATGTCCTTTTGCTTTTATACGATTATATACTACTGAAAGTTTAGGGTTTAGGGTCTAGGCTCAGGACTCATCGGGTTTACGGTTTAGGGCCTAGCCCCTAGTGAACCCAGAATGCTAAACCCTGAACCTCGAACCCTAAACCTTGAACCGAAGGCGCGTTTTTTTATAGGAGAAGAGGAGGGAGAGAGAAGGAGAGAGGAGAGATAAAAGGGATTGCATCTTTATGGCAATAGCAAAGGACAGAATAGAAGAGAGTAGAGAAGAGGGAGAGACAAAACAAGGCGCAGAGAAGATGGCACTCTTCTTTATCCATCCTCTCTCCCTTATCTCTCCCTTCCCTCTTTCTTTTCGAAATGGAGAAAAACAAAAAAGGAAGAACAATGAGAAGGAGAAGGGTAAGGAACAGAAGAGATAGGCCGAAAGGAGGAATATGATGAAGGATTATGGAAAGGTCCATGCGCAAGGAGTCACCCTCTGTTTACCCTTCCACTTCTTTATCATCTTTCTTGTGTTTTATCAGTTAAGAGGAAGCAGAAGGAGAGAAGGGAAAGGGAGGTGAGAGAGGAAAGACAACAAGGAGGCCATCTTAATTTCTGGAAGGGTGCTGAAAAGAAGGGAAGATGGCACTCTTCTTTGTCTGTCATCTCTCCCTTCCTTGTCTCTCCCTTTTCCCTCTATAATTAAGCAAGACAAGACTGTTACCTCCCCCCCCCCCCCTGCCCGCACTTTGCTTGCTTTCTGAAACGACAAGGAACACAACGCATAGAAAGAGAGCAAAGCGACTTAAGCAGTAGGCAGTGGAGCTCTTCAATGTCTTTCCCTATCTCTTTTCTTTTTCTTTTTCATTCAAAAAGGACAAGAAGCTTCCTTGTGTGTGTTCGTTGAGATTTAAAGGAGAACAAGAGAAGAGAAGGGAGAGACAAAGGAGAGAGGAGATATCAAAGGGAATGCAATATTAATGGGAAGAGCAATGAAAAGAATGGAAGAGGAATGAAGACAGGAGAGGGAGGTGCCAAAATCAGGCGAAGAGAAGATGGTGCTCGTTTTTTCATCTTTCCTCTCTTTCTTAGCTTTTTCTTTTCTTGTTGTTTTCCCTTTGAATACAAAAACAAAAGGAAGAACAATGAACATGCAATGGGCGGGACGAGGAGCACAGCAATCCGGCAAAGCCACCCGCGTGAAGGGAGATAAGGGGAGACAAAGGGAGACGAAGGGGACAAGGAGCCCAGGAACCCGGCAACAACCCTCAGAATGTCGGCAATCCTTAAATTCGTTTAGAACCCCTAACAGTAGACTCAGTAGA